AACATCTTGTCTTCATCTTCCGGCATCTCCTTCCAATGTCTCGTTCCAGAGTCTCGTTCCCAGTACCTTCAACAACTCCTTCCCCCTTGCAGCATAGTTATTTAGAATCATGAAGGGTGGGGACACAAAGGTGGGGTTGAACATTATTATAACAACAAAGAGAGGTAAAGCCACTCCTTCAGGAGATTAACTCAAGGACAAAGTCTCATCTGAGGGTTCAGTACTCCAGATTATTAGGAGATCTGCACAAGGGTGGGATTCCATCCAGGGTGTATTGCTTTCTTCTTTTTTCAGCTAGTAATCTATTTAAACAGTCATAGTAAATTTATAATATTTTATATTATAAATATGTTAGAAATTATAAAGTTCTTATAGTATTTTTTAAATTAATTTCCCATTGGCGGCCAAGACCCAGAGACTGTAAAACCAAGTTCCCAGAAGTGCGCAGCCGCAAAAGTGGCCGCATGACATCTTATTTTCTAGGTCTTACTCTGGAGAACCTGGCAGGCTACCAAAAGTATTCTGCCCACACAGCAGAGTCTGGCAAACTCCCCGTGGTGTATTCAATATGCCAAAAACCAGTATCAATGATGGGTCTCATTCTTCTGACCCTGAAAGAGCCTCAAATGTGGCACTTTTTAAAATCTCAGGGCTGGGACGAAGGAGACATTACTGGGGCCTGCTCGAGACAATCGATGACCAACAGGATGACCTTGATAATATTTTTAGTAATGTCATTTTGTATGAACACAGTAGCACTGCAGCACTGTCCTCCCGTTGTTCATAGATTTGCTCAAGCGGGCACCAGTAATGTCTCCATTGTGAGACTTGTTACTATTTTTGGCATATCGAATACATCACAGGTAGCTTGCCAGTCTTTGCCGTGTAGGCAGAATACTTTCAGCTTGCCGGGCTCTCCGAGAGGGGAGGAGGAATCGAACCTGGGTCAGCCGCGTGCAAGGCAAACGCCCTACCGCTGTGCTATTGCTCCAGCCCATGAACACAGCAAGAGATATATTAAGCTTAAAGTTTGGATCTTCTGGGAACATCTCGCTGTATATTCCAGACCACAGTTCTCAGGCCAGGTTAGTCTTTCCTAACTCCAGTAGGGTCCTTATTCAGTTCATTCTTTTTGTGTCATGACAGAGTTTGTTCCATGACCGTGCTCTTAACTTATAGTTAAGTATTATGGCACTTGGCCTGGCCCATTTCGATGCCAGGGTAGCTCACAGCTTGCCCTGGGTCCATCCAGTCCCTCATTGGGACCCTGCTCTTGGAGTACTAGGAACTGAGGGCAACTGAGGCCTGAGTTGTAAATATGGATGCCCAGGGGCTGGAGCGATACCACAGGGGGTAGGGCGTTTGCCTTGCACGCGGCCGACCCAGGTTCGATTCCCAGCATCCCATATGGTCCCCTGAGCACTGCCAGGAGTAATTCCTGAGTGCATGAGCTAAAAGTAACTCCTGTGCAAAGCCAGGTGTGACCCAAAAAGAAAAATAAATAAATAAATAAATATGGATGCCCAGGAGTAAATATTTTGGAGTCAATTAACTCCCATGTTACATAGCATAGCCTCAGCTGTCTTCCTATGTCTATACACAAAGGACATTGCTAAATAAACCATGCAAGTGACATAAAGGAACGAGAAAAGCAATATAGAATTATTATTGCCTGATGGAATTGGGTGTGCCTCAGTTGCACTTTTGTGGGAGTGGCTCAATAAACCTTAAGCTTCCTGCGGGAGCAGCAAGAAAACCCAGTGTTATCCAACAGCAAGAGACCCAGAATCCCAACCCAGTACACAGGAGCATGTTGGAGAACTGACTTCCCAGCTTTGGAATTTTCTGTAAACTACAGGAATCAAGATAGTGTCATAAAGTAAGGTAAAGGTAAAGGCCCTCCCGTTGATCGTCGATTTGCTCGAGCGGGCCCAGTAACGTCTCCATTGGAGACTTTGTTGTTACTGTGTCTGGCATATCGAATACTCTCGGTAGCTTGCCGGGCTCTCCGAGAGGGGCGGAGGAATCGAACTCGGGTCAGCCATGTTGGCCGCGTGTAAGGCGAATGCCCTACCCGCTGTGCTATAAAGTAAAAATAAATTAAAAAAAAAATTGGAGGCCGGAGTGATAGCACAGCGGGTAGGGCGTTTGCCTTGCACGCGGCCGACCCGGGTTTGATCCCCGGCATCCCATATGGTCCCCCAAGCACCGCCAGGGATAATTCCTGAGTGCAGAGCCAGGAGTAACCCCTGAGAATTGCTGGGTGTGACCCAAAAAGCAAAAATAAAATTAAATTAAAATTAAAAAAAAAGATCAATGGACCAGAACAGAGAACTAGAAATAGTCCTTCTAAAATATAGTCAACTGATCTTTGACAAAGGAATAAAGAAAGGAGACGCTAGGCCCTGAGCAATAGTGTTGCATATAGGAAGCTTGCCTTGCATGCGACTTTATGTAATATATATATATATACACACACACATACATATATATAGTCTTTACATATATATAGTCTTTTTATGTATATATGCCATATATATGTATATACATATATATGTATATATGTGCTATAACTGGAGCTATAGCACAGCGGGTAGGGCGTTCGCCTTGCACGCGGCCAACATGGCCGACCCGAGTTCGATTCCTCCGCCCCTCTCGGAGAGCCCGGCAAGCTACCGAGAGTATTCGATATGCCAGACACAGTAACAACAAAGTCTCCAATGGAGACGTTACTGGGCCCGCTCGAGCAAATCGACGATCAACGGGAGGGCCTTTATCTTTATCTTTTATGTATATATAAAGATTTCTTAAAACTCAATCATAAGGTAGGGGCCAGAGAGATAGTATAGTGGTAGGGTGCTTGCCTTTCATGTGGCCAATTCAGATTTGATCCCCAGCATCCCATATGGTCCCCCCAGCCTACCAGGAGTGATTTCTGAGTGCAGAGTCAGGAGTATCCTCTGAACACCACTGGGTGTGCCCCAAGAACCAAAAAAGAAAAAAAAGAAACAAACCAACAATCCTAAGGGGCAAGAGATATTAAAGGTAAGGCATTTACCTTCCATGTGGCTGACTTGGGTTTAATCCTTGGCACCACATCGGGTCTCCTGAGGCTTGCCAGGAGTTATCCTTAAGCACCAGTAGATGTTGCTCACCACCGCCCCAAACAAAACAAAATAAAAAACCTCATAAGAAACAACCAATTTTAAAATAAGCTAAAGACTTTTACACATACTTCAACAAAGATCATTCACGTACCACCAGAGAATGACAGTCTGTGAAGTTGCCATCACCCACCCGCTAGCTCGGTCCCAGTCCTGCACACGATGCCAGAAAGTGCCAGGTTGGGGGCCCTCCCCATGACACTCTCTTTCTCTAGAATCTCCAAAGGTTCTTCATGTCCACCTTCAAATATACAGAGACTATAAAGAGACTGGGGCCAGAGCCATAGGACAGCGGGTAGGACGCTTGCCCTGCATGTGATTGACCCAGGTCCAGTCCCGGGCATCTCATTTGGTCCTCTGAGCACCACCAGGAGTGATTCCTATGTACATAGCCAAGATACCCCTGAGCATCACTCTGGGTGTGGTCAAAAACTCTCCCCACTCCCCATGAAAGAGGAAGATAGTGCTGCAAACATGCCGGAACATGCACTTGTCCCTGCTGGTATGAAGGCTGTGGATAGCTGCTAGGCAGAGCGTTGGGCTGATTCCTACAAAACTGAGCCTGCTCTGACCATATGACCCAGCGGTTGATTCCTAGGTTGGCATTTACCAGCGTGAAGAAACGCAGGGAGTGGGAAGTGTATGTCCTTGCAGAAGCCTGTACGGGTACGGGTAAATTGGCCGTGGGCAGTCACCACACTTAGCAGCAACCAAGATATCTTTGGTAAAGTCAAGCCAATAAGTAAACCAAGGTTCATCCAAGTGATGGAATAATACTTGGGGTAACAATGAACTGAGCCATGCAAATGAGGGAGAACGCTGAGTGCCGGTTAGTGGGACAGACCAACCCATCTGGGAAGTTTATAGACTTTGTGAGTCCAACTTATGTGAGATTCTGGAAAAGGGAAAACTCTGGGGGAAGTGGAGGATCTGTGGTTGGCAGGCACTGCGGGAAGGAGGGCAGGCACAGACCACCAGGAGGACTGTCCCACACCAAGGCTTGTTCCTTACTGTGATCTTTGGGTCGTAATGTGTCAACTGGGGTTCGTCAATACATATAAACAATGTACCAGCCGAAGGGGCATATTGATAATGCAGGAGAGGGAGTTTTGGCGGGCCCATGCGTGGTGAGGCAGTGGCCAGGCAGTGCATATGGGACATCTCTGTACCTTCCTCTCAATTTTGCTATGAATCTAAACTGCTCTGAAAAATGAATAATAAAAAGTCTATTAAAACAGACTTACTTGCTCACATAATTGAAAAGTCTGGGACTCATAAGCCTTCAGGCATGGTTTGATCCAGGGCCTCAGCGATCCTTTGGGATGCATGCTTCCGCTCTCAACCCTGCTTTCCTTCCTCCCTGCAGGAGAGGAGCTGGAGGGGGTTTGGTGGTCCCAAGTATAAAGCAGAAATTCCCGGGAGGCCAGAGAGTCTGGCCTCCTGAGCCTATGCCCAGTTCTGGGGGGGAGGGTGGGAGATGGCCCCTTCTGGGAGGAAGAGGAGGGCTTGTGGAGCCTTCATGTCTAACCTTCACACTTCTGGCATCCCTGCCCCCAGCCGGGCAGTGCAGATGCTCTGAACTGGGCCTTGAGGGTCAGTGGGATTGGCTGAGAGACTGCAGGACATCACGAGACTGTTGGAGGGGGGTGCCCTTGTGTTGGGGACCTGCCAGGGAGACCTGGGGCAGGCAGATGGGTCTGTAATCAGCTCTGGGTCCTGCTCCCCCCCCCCCATTTTCCAGCCCCACCCTGCCAGGTTTCTTGGTGGTGTTTGTTGAAGGAGGAAAGACTATGTCGGTCTCTGATCCCCCCATTCCCCCCATACCCCCTTCCTCAGGCGTTCCTGGTCTACACTGCGGGCGTCTACTCCAACATGGGAAACTACAAATCCTTTGGCGACACCAAGTTTGTCCCCAACTTGCCCAAGGTGAGTGGCAGAAATTGGGGGGGATGGAGGGGGTAGAACACAAAGTGAAGGGAGCCTCAGTGGGGGGTGGGTCCTTTCAGGGCAGAGCAGAACCTCGGAGCCTTGAGCCTCTTGCGGCCGGCCACATGGGGTAAGGCCCCCACAAGCAGCTTCCTCCTGATGCTGCTGACCCACCGGATATGGCCAGGCCCCGACAATTCTTCAGTGCTTGGAAAAGTAGAGTCTGGGGCTGGAGCGATAGCACAGCGGGTAGGGCCTTGCACGCCACCGACCTGGGTTTGATTCTCAGCATCCCATATGGTCCCCTGAGCACCGCCAGGAGTGATTCCTGAGTGCATGAACCAGGAATAACCCCTGTGCATTGCCGGGTGTGACCCCCCAAAAAAGAAAAACTAGAGCCTGTTTCAACATCTCTAATGCCAGTGGGGAAGACTGGTCGTGAGGGTCCCTCCCAGGCAGGGGCCTCTGGAGCCTGCGGCTCTCAGGCCTGAGTGGACCCGAGAAGTGGTCAGCCGCGGTCAGCGCGCAGTTAAAGGAGCAGGTCGGGCTGGGCGCCTGCAGCAGAGGGGCTGGGAGGCGGTGAGGAGCCTGGCGCTGGCCCCAGAGGCTCCAGGAGGCAGGTCCGGGCAGAGTTCAGCAGCCCGAGGCCTCTCTTCCCTGCAGGAGAAGCTAGAACGCGTGATCCTGGGAAGCAAGGCAGCCCAGCAGCACCCAGAGGAAGTCCGGGGCCTCTGGCAGACGTGTGGGGACCTCATGTTCTCCCTGGAGCCGCGGCTCCGGCACCTCGGCCTGGGGAAGGAGGTGAGGCCCGGGGTGGCAGAGTCCTTCGCAGCCACTTGTGGGGGGCTGGGCAGGGGGTCCATGGATGCTGAGACCTCTGTGTTACATCTGGGAGTGGGAAGTACAGTGGATGGGGTGCTGAGTGTCCCCCGAGTCTGACGTCTGGGGTGCCACATGTAGGAGGGAGGAGTTGGGGGGAAACTGAGGCAGGGAGCTGGAGGAGGAAGGGTCCCAGGCTTCCTACTACTAAGTGCTGGGGGGACCAGGGGCACTGTAGGGGGTCACAGGAAGCTCTGGCATAGGGGGTGGCCTTGGCAGGGGTCCCCCGCAGTCTCCAACCCTCAGCAGCTCTCCCCCTCCGCCCGGCTCCCCGCAGGGAGTCACTACCTACTTCTCAGGGGACTGCACCCTGGAGGATGCCAAGCTGGCTCAAGACTTCTTGGACTCACAGGTTTGAGGGGGGAACCTTGTGCAGTGGGTGGATGGGCCCCCCTTCCCCTGGGTGCAGAGTCGTGGGCTTTGGGTCTCCCTGAGTGGTAAAAGACCAGAGGGTGTAGCAATCTCTGGCCAGTTCTGTTTCCTTAAAGAAGGTAAACTCTCAGGGGGTGCTGAGTGTTCATGCTGGTTTTGGTTTTGAGGCCTCACCCAGTGGCGCTCCGGGATCCCTCCAGACAGGGCTTGGGGCTTCCTGTATAGTGCCAGGGATCGAACCTGGGTCAGCCGCATGCCAGGCCAGCGCCCGATGCACTGTGCTATCGCTCTAGCCCAACGAGTGTTTTCTTTTCTGAGAGGGGGATGGGAGAGGCCGAATAAGTTTGGGACCCTCTGTCATGCTTCAGAGCTCCTGGTACCCACCGTGGGCTTCACCTACCCCCTGCAGGGCACTTGAAGGGGTACCCAGGTCTGGAGGGCTCCCGTCTCCTGCTCTCGCGGGGTCTTGCGGGGCTCCCTGGGGTGGGTCGGTCTCAATGCTGCCAACACCCATGGAGAACTGGCACAGGGGTGGGTGCTCACCTCGCATGCCCGAGCCCCCGTCACATTCCCAGCCCTGCACATGGCCCCCAAGCTCTGCCAGGAGTAGCCCCCCAAGCTACTCCTTTTTGAGTCACTGGGTGTGACTCAAAAACCTACAAGAGGTGGGGCCAGAGCAATAGTACAGCTGGTAGGGCGTTTATTGGCCTGGCATGCGGCCAGCCTCGATCCCCGCATTCCATATGGTCCCCCGCGCACTGCTGGGAATAATGCCTTAGTGCAGAGCCAGGAGTCACCCCTGAGCATTGCTGGGTGTGACCCAAAAAGTTAAAAAAATTTAAAAAATTAAAAAAAAAAATAAAACCCTACAAAAGGAACTGAGAACGAGTATCGCGGGGAGGTTGCCTGCTGACCCGGGTTCAGTTCCCAGGACTGTATGGTCTTCTGAGTCCTGCTGGGAGTGATCCCTGAGCACAGAGCCAGGACTAAGCCAGAACCCCCAGAGAACCAAAACCAGCCCCCAGTATGCGGGCCAGAGCCGAGAGCCTGCCCCTGCCCCTCCCCTCCCCTTCCTCTTTGCCTCCTTGATGAACCCCAGTCTCTTCCAGAACCTCAGTGCCTACAACACCCGGCTCTTCAAGGAGGTGGGTCAGGACGGGCGGCCCCGCTATCAGGTGCGGCTGGCCTCGGCACTGAGCTCAGGTGAGTGCTTGCCCTGCCCCTGGCTCCCGGCTGCTGCCGTGGGAAGGCTCCCAGGGCGCCGGGCACAACGTCACAGCGAAAACAGAGGGACGGGCACGTGGTTCCTTTGAGCTGGGGAAGAGACAGGAGTAGATCATTCCAGAATATTGGCTGGGCTTGACTTCCAGGTCCAGTGGCTGAACGTGGCCCTGGATGGGGCCAGCAGCCAAGCGGGTATTATCGAGTTTGTCATTCATACCTCCACACCCCCATGCGGTCTCCCCCCACCCCCTTTTCTTGCTAAGGACCTCAGGGCGTCAGATGGGCACAGGGAGTCTTGTCTCCAGCGGGCAGTGTCAAGACCTCCACTTCCCCTTCTCACCCCGCAGGCTTGGAGGTGGTCAGGGGAGGGCCCGGCCACCTGGGGACTAGAGCAGGCTGCAGTCCTGTCGTTGCTGCCTGCCGGCCCTTAGAAACCTGTGCAGTGGAGTTAGTTCATGCCCAATTCAATCAGCCTAATCAATGGCTGAATAAATAGCAATACTCCTACATTAAAAAAAAAAAAATACCTGTGCAGTTTCCCCATCCGTAAAGTGGAGGAGATCACTTCCCTCTCCCCCAGGCTTGGTTTGAGGCTTCAAGGGGTAACATGTGATGGGGTTGGGGTGCTCATGGAGTGGGTGGGCACTTGCCTTGCACGAGGGGGACCCAGATTCCATCCCCGGCATCCCATAGGGTCCCCTGAGCCCCACCAGGAGTGGTTTCTTTTTTTCTTTTCTTTTTGGGTCACACCTGGCGATGCACAGAGGTTACTCCTGGCTCTGCACTCAGGAGTTACTCCTGGCGGTGCTCAGGGGACCTTATGGGATGCTGGGAATCGAACCCGGGTCTGCCGCATGCAAGGCAAATGCCCTACCCGCTGTGCTATCTCTCCAGCCCCAGGAGTGGTTTCTGAGTACAGAGCCAGGAATAAGTCCTGAGCATCGCTGGGTGAGGCCCCAACAAGCAAAAACAAAAAGCTATAAAGTGAAATATCCGGAATGCTTTCCACATGGTTTGTTTTTGTGTCACACCTGACGATACTCGGGTGACTCCTGGCTCTGCACTCAGGAGTCACTCCTGGTGGTGCTCAGGAGACCCTATGGGATTTCGGTGATCGAACCCAGGTCAGCCACGTGTAAGGCAAGTGCCCTACCCACTGCCCTATCCCTCGGACTAGAGTTTCTATATTCTTCATAGTCTCCATATATTTCAAGGTGGAAGGTCTCACTAGAGCGCTTGAAGATTCAAGCAGAAGAGGGGCTGGAGCAATAGCACAGCAGGTAGAGCGTTTTCCTTGCACACGGCCGACCCGGGTTCGATTCCCAGCATCCCATATGGTCCCCTGAGCACCGACAGGAGTAATTTCTGAGTGCATGAGCCAGGAGTAGCCGTGTGACCCAAAAAGCAAAAAAAAAAAAAAAAAAAAAAAAAGATTCTAGCAGAAGAGAGGCCTGCAGGGGCGTCTCCCCGGGCCACTTCTGAGCCCCCCCCTTTCCTCAGAGCCCGCTCTGGATTCTGACGTGGCTCCCAAGCTGAAGAGCTACGACTTCCAGGGGAGCCATTTCCAGGTGACGCGGGGGGACTACGCCCCCATCCTCCAGAAGGTGGTGGATCACCTGGAGAAAGCCAAGGTAGGGCCTGCTGTGGGCTGAAGTGTGGGGGGCCCAGCCAGGAGGAGAGGGCGACGGGGGTGCCTGGAGGCTGACTTCCTGCACCCCTCCCCACCCACCCCCCAGGCGTACGCAGCCAACAGCCACCAGGAGCAGATGCTGGCACAGTACACGGAGAGCTTCCTGCAGGGCTCCATCGAGGCCCACAAGAGGGGCTCCCGCTTCTGGATCCAGGACAAAGGTCCCATCGTGGAGAGGTGAGGCGGGGCCTGCCCCCTCCTGCCCACCCCCTCCTGCCCGCCCCCTCCTGCCCGCCCCCCTTCATCGCTCCCCTTCTCTCCCCCAGTTACATCGGCTTCATCGAGAGCTACCGAGACCCCTTTGGTTCCCGTGGAGAGTTTGAAGGTAACTACTGGGCGGAGGGTGGTCCGTGGGGAGCCCCCCATCGTCCCTGCCCCTCTCCCCGCGGGCACCGAGACTCAGCTCCCTGAGTAGCCATCATCCCCCTGATCATGGGGGGAGGGGGTCTCTGTCCTCACTGATAAAGCTGCTGGAGTGTGATCCCATCCCCCGAGCCCTGAGTGTAGACCTAGGGGGCACCCTGGCAAGGGGAAAGGGGAGAAGCAGGGCCGATGACCCCTGCAGGCTTGGCGCTGAGCCGAGATGCCTGAGTGGACAACAGTTGGACCTGGGGCTGGGGGCACAGCAGGAAGGCACCTGACGCTGCCCTGCTCTTGGCAGCTCTGGGATATCACCAACCTCCTTTTTTTTTTTTTTTTTTTTTTTTTTTTGCTTTTTGGGTCACACCGAGCAATGCACAGGGGTTACTCCTGGCTCTGTACTCAGGAATTACTCCTGGCGGTGCTCAGGGGACCATATGGGATGCTGGGAATCGAACTGAGGTCAGCCGCGTGCAAGGCAAATGCTCTGCCCGCTATGCTGTTGCTCCAGCCCCAAACCTCCTTTTTTTTGGACCACACTCAGTGGTGCCCGGGACTTACTCCTGGCTCTGCGCTCAGGGATCACTCCTGGAGGGGCTTGGGGGAACCATCTGGGGTGTGTCTGTGAGTTGCAAGCCATCCCCACAGAGGCCGCCCCCATCCCCAACACCCCCTTCCCTCCCATTTATTTCCCCGGCCCCCCTGTCGGATGTTGAGTTGCGTTTCTGCCTTTCCTGTCTCAACCGTCCTGTATCTATGGTCTGGGGGTTGGCCCTGGAGGAGCCTGGCCTGGACTGAGGAAGCACTGAGCTGACCCTCGGCCTGGGAGCCCATTTCCTCTCAAGAGCCCCTCAGCATTGGGGTCAGTGCAAGCCCCCAAGAGTCATGCCACAGGGTCCTGCTTTTTGGGTCACACCCAACGATGCACTGGGGTTACTCCTGGCTCATGCACTCAAGAATTATTCCTGGCGGTGCTCAGGGGACCATATGGGATGCTGGGGATCGAACTTGGGTCAGCTGCGTGCGAAGCAAATGCCCTACCCGCCGTGCTATCACTCCAGCCCCAACGGATCAGTTTTTATAGCCCCCTTTTATTGGATTAACGATCAAAACATCTAGCATGCCTCGAAGTACATAAGACCAAAGTACATAAGATCAAAACACCTTAAAATACATATTTTAGTGGTTTTGGGTTTTTTTTTGGGGGGGGTCACACCTGGTGATGCTCAGGGGTTATTCCTGCCTCTGCACTCAGGAATTATTCCTGGCAGTGCTCGGGGGATCATATGGGATGCTGGGAATCGAACTCAGGTCAGCTGCGGGCAAGGCAAACGCCCTCCCCCCTGTGCTCCAGCCCCATATATTATTTTGTAGCCTAATAATGCACAAAGTTCCTAATGAAGTAAAACAGACCACCTTGTAAAGCTTCACATCTCACTTCCCATATATTCCACATCGAAATCTATACAAACTTGCACAATAACCCAATAAGGTATTTGTTTAACTTTCATCCAGTCATAGCACAGTTCATTTATAACAGAAGGCGGCTGCATTGGGACATGCTGACCCCAACCCAGTTCACTCAGCGTTCCTAGCTGTTCGCAGCTCTGACACGCCCTTGTTTGCAAGGCAGCATCCCCAGAACTTCCTCATGACTCTGGTCAGGCTCCAACACCCTGGGCCCGCCAGGCGTGATCCCTGAACTGAGGGCCAAGGGGAAGCCCTGAGCACCACCAGGTGTCACCCCAAAACCAAAACAAAGAACCCGGAATAATTCCATTCCTGACACCCCCAACACAAGTTGAAAAATCAAGAGGAACTGGAGTTCGGGGAGAGCATGCTTTTTTTGTGTGTGCAGGACCGGGTGGAAACGTTCTCTAGGCCACAGTTTGTGAGCACTGCTGGGAAGGCCCTTGCCTCCCTGTCCAGCACCCTCTCCGCAGCCAGGGGTGCGTGGGCAGCTCATGGCACCTCTGGAGAGCCACTTTCTGTGTGGAAGCAGCCCCAGCCTCTGGGAGCCTCCCCAGGTGCCTCCTCGGCCATGAACTCCTGCCAGTACCTCTTAAAACCCACCCTGGATGTCACCCTGCGGACCTTTGCCCACCCCATGGTGGGCTCCAGGAAGGCGGGGTGGGTCCGTGGGGCCCAAGGAGGGTGTGAGGATCCGGCCACCTGCCCACCCACACCCCCACTCCCACCCGCAGGCTTCGTGGCCATGGTGAACAAGGCCATGAGCGCCAAGTTCGCGTGCTTGGTGGCGAGCGCAGAGCAGCTGCTCACGGAGCTGCCCTGGCCCCCGGCCTTCGAGAAGGACAAGTTCCTCACCCCCGACTTCACCTCCCTGGACGTGCTGACTTTTGCGGGTTCCGGCATCCCGGCTGGCATCAACATCCCCAACTGTGAGCGCCCCGCCATGACCCCCCCCAAGCCCATCCACCCTGCTCTATGCCCTGGGCCCATCCCTGACCCTGTCCTTCGCCCCACCCTGCCCCAGATGATGACCTCCGGCAGACGGAAGGCTTCAAGAACGTGTCACTGGGCAATGTGCTGGCCGTGGCCTATGCCACCAAGCGGGAGAAGCTGACCTTCCTGGAGGAGGAGGACAAGGTGGACGGGCGGCAACGCCAGCAACCAGGGGCTCCCTGGAATGGGGGGGCTGTGTCCGGGCAGGCGATACCAGCACTGGGGGCTTCCTGGAATGGGGGTTGGGGCCAGCCTGTTTCCACCCCTTCGCGTGCCCACAAGTGGCCCTTCCTGCCGGGGGTGGCCGGTGACCTGGAATCTCTGCTCGGCATGGCAGGACCTGTACATCCGCTGGAAGGGACCCTCCTTCGACGTGCAGGTGGGGCTGCACGAGCTGCTGGGCCACGGCAGCGGGAAGCTCTTCGTGCAGGTCAGTGGCCAGCGCGTACTGGGGCGGCGGTTGGTCCCTTGGTCACAGGCGACCCTGTCCTACCCCGTCCCCAACCACACCCCAGTGTCCTGCGAGCTCCATGGATTAAATGGTGGGGGGATGGTGGGCATAGGACAGGCTCACCAAGTCTCCTGAACAAGATATGGTCCACCCCCGTACCCTGGGGTGGAGCTGAGTCCCCCGCCCCTGCCTGGGACTGCCGGGCCTGGGAGGGGGGCGCAGCCTGTGGCCGCCCACCGGCTCTTGCCCGGGGCAGCCCCGTTCCCTGGTCCCCTTCTTCCCCGCAGGACGAGAAAGGAGCTTTCAATTTTGACCCGGAGACAGTCATCAACCCGGAGACCGGGGAGCAGGTGAGGAGGCTGGGCCAGGGCGCCCAGGGGTACAGGGGTCTCCGCCCCTAAACCTGCTTGCCCCCCCAGATTCAGAGCTGGTACCGGAGCGGGGAGACGTGGGACAGCAGGTTTAGCACCATCGCCTCCAGCTATGAGGAGTGCCGGGCCGAGAGCGTGGGGCTCTACCTCTGCCTCCACCCCCGCGTGCTGGAGTAGGTCCAGGCCAGGCCCGGGGGTGGGTGGGGGGTCGGGGTGGGGGCCGCAGCCGCCCTCACTGACCCACCATCCCTTCCCACCCCAGGATCTTCGGCTTCCAGGGCTCCGATGCTGAGGACGTCATCTACGTCAACTGGCTGAACATGGTTCGGGCCGGGCTCCTCGCCCTGGAGTTCTACACCCCCGAGGCCTCCAACTGGAGGCAGGTGGGTGCCTGCCGCGGGGCAGGGGACCCTGGCATCGGGATCTGAGTGCAGGAAAGAGGACAGCAGGGCATGTGGACCCTACTTTGTGGGGAGGGCCACCCGCCACTGTGGCGGCCTTGGCGGCTCTGCCGGTGAAGTGGGGGCAGGGTCTCTCTGTTCGTCTAATTTGGCGGTTCCTTACACTCCTGACAGTACTTGGGGCTCGGTGCCCCCTTACCGATGTTTAGGGGGCCAGGGCCAGGTAGCTGGGACTGTACATCCTTGAGCTGGTTTCACTGCCCAGCCTGACTTGCCCGTCCCTGTCACCGAGGCGACATGTGCAGCCATCCGTGTCCACCTGCCCGGGCCCTGCGTGGGAACTGGCCATGTTGCTTCCAGGATCACCCAGGCGGGAGGCGGGCACTGTGGTCAGCCTTATGCTGGGTCTGAGGGGACGGGCACCGAGTGGCTCAATGATTTGTGGGTCAGTCACCTCCAGGCCACCAGGCGGGGCTGCTCCAGGGTGGGCTCTGGAACCCGCACAAACCGCAGAAGGGTCTGGAAACTCAGACTGATGCGAGGCAGTTGCACATGGGAGGTCCTGGTTCCGCCTCCAGCACTCAGGGGTCCCCAGAGCCCCCTCGAGAGTGACCCCAAGCAGAGAGCTGGGAGTCAGGAGACTTGTGCCCTTGCTCCCCCTTCCCTGCTGTGTGACCCCGACTGAGTCACTTCACCTCTCTGAGCCGGCCCATCCTCCCTACATTGGGGTGGCCAGGGGGTCTGGGGCTCCAGCCCTGCCTGGAATGGTGGCTAGGGCAGTCGCCCACCAGCGGGGAGGAAGCAGGCGTGGAACGATGACCTGGGCCACCTCACGCACTGCCTCGCTCCCCACAGGCCCACATGCAGGCCCGGTTTGTGATCCTGAGAGTCTTGCTGGAGGCCGGCGAGGGGCTCGTTACTGTCACTCCCACCACAGGCTCCGACGGGCGCCCAGATGCCCGGGTCCGCCTGGACCGCAGTAAGATTAGGTCTGTGGGCAAACCCGCCCTGGAACGATTCCTCCGGAGGCTGCAGGTGAGAGCAGGTGTCCACGGTGGGGGTCCCTCCGAGCCCCCAGTCTCCTCACCTGTGTGTGTGAGTGTGTGTGAGTGTGTGTGTGTGTGTGAGAGGGGGAGTTGGGCTGTACGCAGCGGTGCTCCGGGCTGACTCCTGGCTGTGGTCAAGGATCACTCTGCAGTGCTCAGGGGACCATCTAGGGTGCTGGGGATCAAACTCAGGTTGGTCTCGTGCAGGGCAAGCGTCCCACCTGCTGTGCTGTCACCCCAGCCCCCGCCCCCTGCCTTTAGCACAGCCTCTTGGCCTCCCCATCATCCGTCCGTCCATCCATCCATCCATCCACGCACGTGTCCATCTCTCCTGCTGGCATCCGTCCCTTCGCCCACCCCCTCTCCATCCATGCAGTGAGTCTGTACGTCAAACCCAAAGAGGAAGTCGAGCCATTTCATGTGTTGTATGAGGGGTGGGTGGAGGGACAGTGAACCAGGTAACTTCAAATCATGATGAGAGCTGGACAGTGCGATCGGGTATTGTGAGAATCGAGGGGAGAGGAACTCAGAGCCCCCTGGTCTGGGGGATTGGGGAGGGTGTCTTGGGAGGCAGCATAGAAGCTGGCGTCTGGGTACCAAGGAGACGGCAGTGAAAAGATCTGAGGGTGGAAGATGCATAGGACACAAGCCCTGGGGGCTGGAGCGATAGCACAGCGGATAGGGCATTTGCCTTGCACGCAGCCGACCCAGGTTCGATTCCCAGCATCCCATATGGTCCCCTGAGCACCGCCAGGAGGGATTCCTGAGTGCAGAGCCAGCAGTAACCCCTGTGCATAGCCGGGTGTGACCCAAAAAGAAAAAAAAATTAAAAAAAGAAGACACAAGCCCTGCCTGAGGACCAGACGAGCTGGGTAGGTGGAGAGACAGGAGTCCTGGAACTTAGCCAGGGGAGGAGGGCAGGGAGGGGTTGGCTTGGCCCTGGTGTCACTCAGCGCTAGAGGTGCTAACGTGCTCAGTAGTTAACCTGCACCACACTTGGTCTCGCTGGCCTGCATTTCTCATCTGTCCGACGGGGTGAGGAGGAGAGGGACAAGCAGAATGCCGTGCTGACGAGCCAGGGCAGCGCAGAACATGGGCCGTCTAGCACCAGGAGCATGTGAGAAAGGCGGGTTCTCAGGCTCTGGCCCAGCCCTGCTGGTCCTCATAGTCAGAGCCAGGGGTCTGCAGGCCACTGTCCTGTAGTGTTACGCCAGGGCTAAGAGGGCTGGGGATGTGCCTTGATGGTGTGGCATTTGCCCCGCGCACATCCCCCGTGGTACCAAACCCGAATGGGAGCGATAGTACAGTGGGGAGGATGATGCCTTGCACATGGCTGTTCTGGGGTTCCATCCCCAGTGTCCCATGTGGTCTCCTGAGCCCACCAGAAGTGATTCCTAAGTGCAGAGCCTGGAGTGATCCCTGAGCACTGCCATGTATGGCCCCCAAAGAGAAACACAACAAAACAAAAACATAACCAAAAAAAAAACTCCCACCAACCTCAAAAAACAGCACTAACGTTCAAGAACCACCCAGAAGCTGCTTTCTACTGAGCACGGGAACACGGTCCCTCTTTCCACCCCCTACAGAGTCTAGCCTTTCTGGTTCTATGCCCGCTATTTCTAGAAACCTGTGGATAATACAGCAGGTAGGGCACTAGCCTTGCACGCCGCTGACCCAGATTTGAGCCCTGCATCCCATATAGTCCCCCAAGCGCGCCAGGAGTGATCCCTCGGTGCAGAGCTAGGAGTAAGGCCCAAGACATTTTTTTTCATGAAAGATGGGTGTTTGAGGCCAGAGAAATACTCCAGAGGGAAGGCATTTGCTTGGTGTGTGGCAGCCTCCTTTTGGGACCCCGGCACCCTGTCTAGTCCCTCAAGGCAGGAGTGATCCCTGAGCACAGACTCTCAAAACTTCCAGGTGTGTTGGGGCTGGAGTGATAGCACAGCTGGTAGGGTGTTTGCCTTGCACGCGGCCGGCCCGGGTTCGATTCCCAGCATCCCATATGGTCCCCCGGGCACTGCCAGGGATAATTCCTGAGTGCGTGAGCCAGACGTAACCCCTGTGCATTGCCAGGTGTGACCCAAAAAGAAAAAAAAAAGACTCCCAGGTGTGGCCCCAAACCCCCCAAAAGGATAGGTGTTGGGCCCTTCAAGTTAGAAGTCTATTTTTATTTTTATTTATTTGTTTATTTTTTGTTTTTTGGGTCATACCGAGCACTGCTCAGGGGTTACTCCTGGCTCTGCACTCAGGAATCACTCTTGGCGGTGCTCAGAGAATCATATGGGATGCCAGGGATTGAACCCGGGTCAGCTATGTGTAGGGCAAAAGCCCTACCCACTGTACTATTGCTCTGGCCCCACAAGTTAGAAGTCTAAATTCACCAGAGGCAACGTGCATTGGGTCACGTAGCAGACGTGGAGGCCGGACCCAGGAAAGGGCATTTGTAGCACTACCGGAGCCGTTTGAAATCGAGTCTAGGACTTAGCAGATGGCATCGCACTGTCATTGTAAGCCACCTGCCTCTGAGAAAGCTGACGGGGGCAGGGAGGCTAATGGGAGGTGTGGACCCCAAATCAGCCCCGGATTCTCTAACCACAAGAGGCAGGACTGCCAGACCCTAACCAAGGTTGAGCTGGCACACCGCTGCTGGTGTAGACACTGAGCCAGCCTGTGGGAGAGGGTCATGCCACAGCATGCCCTGAGCACTGCTGCCCCCACGCCCCACTGCGGTGATAAGGCATGTCTGTGGGCTTACCTCCTGGGCCGTAGTCTTCACCCTTGGTGGGGCGCGATGTTGGGTCTGTGTTTCTGGCCTCTGGGAAGGCCTGGACTCAGTGGTCTGGTTCATTTCCATGTGGCTGCCACTGGTTTGGGCACCGTGGCCGGGTTTGCATCCAGCCTGCAGGTGGTGCTAAGGATTGAACTCTTGATCAAACTACTTTGAACGTGGCCTCTTACTCACATTCAATGTAGCAGCTCTCTCACTGAGCCAGCCCCAGCTCAGCACCTCAAGCCAACTCCGCTCCCCGGGACCCTCCCGAGGGCTAAACTTTCAGCCTCTTTAATGTGTGTTCAACAACTTCCGGTTTAGTAGCCCTGGGGGACTGAGAGTCAGGGAGAGAATTCTCCCTGTCTTGCCCCTGGGAGTTCCAGGCGGGTCTGTTTTCTCCAAAGTGAGAGCAAAACTATCCTTAGGAGCCCCGAGTCCGAGCTGGTGGCCTTGCCCGGTGCCTCCTGCAAGTCAGCAGAATCAGTAAGGCCCCAGCCACACACCCTAAACAGGAAAAAGCCAAATGGAAATTCTAGAAATAAGCTGTGTGGTCATTGGAGCCGAGCGCAGGCACATCGGCCAGCTTTCACAGCCAGGGACCGAAGAGTCTAGAATGTGAAACGCAGAGACAAGAAATCTGAGAGCGGCAGAGATAGGAGCGAGTCTGAGAAGGCCTGACAGCCATCACCCAGAGAGAGGAGGAAAGGGAGGACTATTAGAAGATAATGGCCGAGAATGTTCTCGAACTGACTGGAGTTTCAGGTTTATGGATCCAGGACAGGCTCTAAGGCATTTTCTTTTCAGGAAGTTCAAGAAATCCCAAGAGGGGCTGGAGTGATAGCACAGCGGGTACGGCGTTTGCCTTGCACGCGGCCGACCCGGGTTCGATTCCCAGCATCTGATATAGGGTCCCCTGAGCACCGCCAGGAGTAACTCCTGAGTGCAGAGCCGGGAGTAACCCCTGTGCATCGCCGGGTGTGACCCAAAAAGAAAAGAATAAAAAAAAGAAAAGAAATCCCAAGAATGGCCAGGAAGGTGTCTCCCTAGAAATATCGTGAATAAAGTAAAACAAATAAAGACGTGGAGAGACCCTAATAGCAGCGGAGTGTAGAGGCAGAAGGAAGGGAAGGAGCCGTGGCCAGCTGGGAGCTACTGTGGGCACAGGAATGGGGAGAGGGCAGGGACAGAGGGCATCATCAACCACCATAAGATTGTCCATCCAGGGCTTTAGGGAGTTAGGAGAGACCTGAAACGAACCATTCAGACCGCTATTTCGGGGCCACACCCAATGGTGCTCAGGGCTTCACTCCTGGCAGTGCTCGGGGGACAAATGGGTGCTAGGGATCCAACCCAGGTCAGCTGCATGCAAGGCAAGTGCCTTACCCACTGTACTCTCTGTCTATCCCCATTGATTCAGATTTGATGGTTAAATCAAATCTTTGTGTTGGGCTGGAGTGATAGTACAATGGGTAGGGCATTTGCCTTGCACGCAGCCGACCCAGGTTTGATCCCCAGCATCCCATATGGTCCCCCGAGCACTGCCAGGAGTGAATTCTGAGTGCAGAGCCAGGAGTAACCCCTGCGCATCACTGGGTGGGACCCAAAAGGCAAAAATCAACCAACCAACAAAAAACCCTTTGTGGAGGAATTTCTACAGGCTGGCATTGAAGAAACCGAGATGCAGGGAAGGTTTGATAAGTGCCCCCACTTCAAAGAAAAAAAAAAAAAGAAGAAAAGGATCACTGAACTCTGTACTGAAGTAAAAGTGTTGTCTGTGGGGTTGAAAAAGATCCCGAGGGCTGGTGAGGCAGCTCAATGCGCTGGGCTCGAATTTGCATGCAGGAGACCTGGGTGTGAGCCCTGGCACCTCTTGGCCTTCCAGGCACTGCTGGGAAGGACCCTTGCCCCCACCCACCCCCACACACATCATCCTGTGTGGCTGAAAATAGAATAAAACAAATTGAAAATGTTAAAAAACGAAATCGGGCTGGAGGGAAAGTACAACAGGTATAGAGCATTTGCCTTGCAAAAGATTTACCTGGGTTTGAATCGTGGCATCCTGTATGTCAGGAGTAACCTGAGCATTGCTGGGTCTAGCCCTAAAAGAAGGAAGGAAACAAAAGAAAAGGAAGAAGGCTGGGGCCAGAGCGCTAGGACAGAGGATAGGGCATTTGCCATGCAGGGGGCTTATCTGGGTTCAATCTCTGCACCCCATATTATCCCCTGAGCCCACCAGGAGTGATCTTTGAGCACAGAGCCAGGAGTAAGCCCTGAACACCCCTGGGTGTGGACCAAAAAACAAAAATGAGGGGGCAGAGTGACAGTACAGCAGGCAGAGCATTTGTCTTGCACATGGTGGACCAAGGTTTGATCCCTGGCATCCTATAAGATCCCCCGAGCACTACTGGGACCAATTCCTGAGTGCAGAGCCCTGAGAAACCCTGGGTGTGACCCAAAAAAAGGAAAAACCAAACAACAACCAAAAAGAAAGGAAAGGAGGGGCAGCTGATCTGTGTTCAATCCCCGGCATCCCATAGGGTCCCCAAAGCACTGCCAGGAGTAACTTCTGAGTGTAGAGCCGGGAGTAACCCCTGAGCATCACTGGGTGTGACCCAAAAAAAGCAAAAAAAAAAAAAAAAGGAAAGGAAAGGAGGGTGATGTTAATTCCTTTACTATTCAAATGAAATAGTCAAGGTTGGAGGGATGATGCAGGGGTTAAGGCACTTGTCTTGCACGCGGCCAACCCAGGTTTGATTCCCAGCATCCCATATGGTCCCCCGAGTACTGCCAGGGGTAATTCCTGAGTACATGAACCAGGAGTAACCCCTATGCATCACCAGGTGTGACCCAAAAACCAAAATATATATATATGGGAAAAAAAAGAGAAAAGGGGCTAGAGCAATAGTACAGCAGGTAGGGCATTTGTCTTGCACACGGCTGACCCGGGTTTGATTCCCAGCATTCCATAAGGTCCCCCAAGCGCTGCTAAGAGTAATTCCTGAGTGCAGAGCCAGGAGTAATCCCTGAGCATAACCGGGTGACCCCCCCCCAAAAAAAAGCAGCGGAACCACCAAGTAAGAATGTCGCTTCATGTGGACAGGCCACCCTCTCCCCGCCAGGTCTCAGCAACCCTGAGCACCAGCGGGACTCATGCAGCCTCTGAGCCTCGTTCCATCCCCCACAGGTTCTGAAGTCCACAGGGGATGTGGCCGGAGGTCGAGCCCTGTACGAGGGATACTCAGCGGTCACCGATGCGCCCCCCGAGTGCTTCCTCACCCTCAGGGACACGGTGCTACTCCGCAAAGAATCCCGGAAGCTCATTGTGCAGCCCAATACACGCCTGGAAGGTGAGACCTCCTCCCTGAACCCCGGCCTGGGCCTTCTGGGGGACACCCTGGAGCATGGGACAGTCCCTGCTGCAGTCCCCCCCTCCCCCCGCACCCGGGAACTTCTACAACCACCAGTACATCCCATGCACTGGGCCGTGCAGTGGCCGTGGACTGTGAGGGGGTCTCAGGCTAGGGGATGGTGGGCATGACTGAGTCCTGACAGTGCCTGGGGGTCCAAAAGTTCTCCTAAGGGAGCCCGTAAGGTGCTGGGACCCCAAAGCCACTGTGGGGGGGGGTCCCTCTCCTTTCTTGAATGACAATTCCATTTCCAAATGCCTCAGCTTTGTCTGTGCTGGCTTTGTGCCTCTTGGGGTCCAGTCCCTTACCTCTCCATGGCCCAGAGATTGCTTTTCTGGGCCTTGAGGGCCTACATTACCAAGGCCCATGTGGATGTGGGGTGACACTGCCAGGAACCCCCCATCAGACACTTCCTTCCAGGACCCTTTAAATAAGGAGTAAGGAGGTATGGGGCTGGAGAGGTAGCACAGTGGGTAGGGCGTTTGCCTTGCTCGTGGCTGACCCAGGTTCGATTTCCAGCATCCCATATGGTCCCCTGAGTACTGGCAGGAGTAATTCCTGTGCATCGCTGGGTGTGACCCCAAAAACAAATAAATGAATAAGTAAATAAATAAATAAATAAATAAATAAGGAGATAGGGTCCTCTGTGGCCCTTTCTACAGATGAGGAAACCAAGGCATCAGCATCTCTGACCCAAGACTCTCTGTTTTTCCTGGAAGGAGCAGGAGTCCCACCAAGGGCCTTTGTGCCATGCTGTTACTCCCCAGGCGGGTGTGAGGGCAAAAAATAAGCCACCTCTGAGGAGAACGACGTGTTCTGCCTCTGACCAGCCCACAGGGGCTCCTGTGAGATTTGGCCTCCCTGGCTCTTCCCTCATCAGGCCTCCTCTTAGCCCCTGTCAGCTGACCCTTCTTATCACTGGGGACCCTGTTAAAGTGGCGCCTTGTGCGAGAGGCTGACCCTCAGCCACTCTCTTCCTCACCAGCTTCGTTTTCTCTGTACGCCATCACCCTGCCCTTCCCCCGCCACCTGGTCTCCATGACGACAGGGGCCTCCTCCCAGCACCTAGCCGGGGCCTAGAGCTGCCCTCCCGGTACCTCAGTGGGTGATGCTGGCTCATGGCCGGTGCCCGTTGTCTGCGCTGGACTGCGGGCAGATTGGGTTTAGAAAGGCGGCCGGTGATGATGGTGCAGGTGCCGATGACAGCTGTGGCGATCGATTAGTTGATGGATTATTGATCGCTGATATCGGTAAGTCTGTTTCAAAACTAAGGCCGATCCTGAGCCCTCTCGTCTCCTCTCCAGGCTCAGAGGTGCAGCTGCTCGAGTACGAGGCATCGGCCGCCGGCCTCATCCGGTCCTTCTCTGAGCGCTTCCTGGAGGATGGGTCGGAGCTGGAGGAAATCCTCACCCGTCTGGCCTCAGCCGATGCCCATTTCTGGCAGAGCTCCCCGGCCCCCTCCAGCCAGGCCTAAGGTCTGTGCAGTGTCTCCCGACTCCATCAGACCAAGGCAGCAAGTGGCGCCTTGGTGGGTGTGTTTGGGGGCTGCAGGGGACGGAAGCTCGGACTTGGTGCTACCTCAGCCGGGGGCGGTGACTCGGACCCTCCCGTCCGTCAGCACTTTGCTCTTGCCGAGCACATCCCCTGTGCTGGCTCATCTGATCCGGTGCCCTGTGGCGCGGGCAAGGCCAGGCTCCTGTCCTGTCCCGCAGATGCAGAGCCCAAGGCTCAAGAGAAGCCGTGCGCAGCTCCACAGCGCTCGGGCGCTTCTCCCAGCCCAGGGCTCCTGTCTCACTTTTATAATCAGAAGAATAAATATGATCCACAACCACTGTGTTTGCCATCTGTATGATTCCTCCTGCATCTGCTTCCTGCAAGGGGGTAGGGTCGGGTTTGGGGTGTGTGTGTCATTTTTAGGCCTCCATTCACCATTAGTTGGTCCCCTATTAGCAGATACAGAGGCACAGGGATACATATTGCCTTGATTTTGCAGTATGCATCAAAATTCTCTGGAATTTCAAATATTCCGGGAGCCTCAAAACTGGAAACCCTCGGGGCTGGAGAGATAGCACAGCGGGTAGGGCGTTTGCCTTGCACGCGGCTGACCTGGGTTCGATTCCCAGCATCCCAGATGGTCCCCTGAGCACTGCCAGGGGTAACTCCTGAGTGCAGAGCCAGAAGTAACCCCTGTGCATTGCCGGGTGTGACCCAAAAAGAAAAAACAAAAACCAAACAAACAAAAAAAAACTGGAAACTCTCAGCTTTGGTCAGAAATCTAGGATTGATGGAGTCCAAACAATAGTACAGTAGGCACGCAGCCGACCCAGGTTCAATCCCCAGCTCCCCACTTGGTCACCGGAGCCAGCCAGAAGTGATCCCTGAGCACAGAGTCAGGAGTAATCCCTGAACACAACCAGGTGTGGCCCCAAAATAAAAGAAAATTCTAGGATTGAATCTTACGCTCTGAGGCTCTCTTCTTTTTCTGGGGTGGGGTACGCTCAGAGGTCCTTCTGGATTGTTCTAGCAGCTTGGTGCTCCGGGATCATGCAGTGCTGTAGATCTAGTCTGGGCCTCCTTCATGGAAAACCCTATGAGCAATTCTTTGCTGAAGCTCTAGTCTATCCCCCCTACCCCCAGGTCATACCCTTCAGTGTTCTGTGCTTACTCCTGGCTCTAGGCTTAGGGGTCACTCCTGGTGGGATCTTGGAACAATGTAGGGTCCTAGGGATTGAACCCCGGTGGCAGCATGTAAGAAAAGCCCTTTATTCCTATTTCCTTGGCCCTGAAGTTCCAGTCTTTTTGTTCATCTTTCCATTCCCTGTGTCACTGTTGACACATGGGGGGATCTCTACTGCTCCCAGATCAAGGAGGGGTGTGTGTGTAGAGGGGGGGTTGCCCTGCAGTGCCTGTCGTATCCAGCCCAGCCTTCACACATGTAAGGCAGGCTCTTTTTCCACAGAAACACTTCCACACTCACATATCTCTGGGGCCCTAGAATTTAATGTTTTGGCTTCTGGCCACACCCAGCGGCGCTCAGGGTGGCTGACTCCGTTACTCAGGAATCACCCCTGGCCAGGTTTGAGGAGACTATATGAAGCGCTGGGGATTCAACCTGGATCCAATCCTGGCTGGCTGCATGTAAGACAAGTACTCTACCCGCTGTACTATTGCTCCATCCCATAGAATTTTTTTGCTTTTTGTGGGGCTGCAGCGATAGCACAGCGGTAGGGTGTTTGCCTTGCGCTGCCGGCCCAGCTGAGCTGGGTTCAATTGCTCCGCTCCTCCTGGAGAGCCCCGCAAGCTACTGAGAGTCTCTCCCCCGCGGGGCAAAGCATTCGATATGCCAAACACAGTAACAAGAAGTCTCACGATGGAGACGTTACTGGGCCCGCTCAAGCAAATCGATCAACAACGGGAGGGCAGGGCAGTGCTACAGTGTTGCTTTTTTGGTCACACCTAGCGGTGCTCTGGGCTTACTCCTGGCTCTGGACTCGGGAATTACTTCTGGCCGTGCCCTCGGGGGACCGTATGAGATGCAGGGGATCGAACCCGGGTCACCCGCATGCAAGCAAATGCAGATGCCCTCCCCGCTGTACCGTTGCTGCTGCCCCAGAACTTAATCTTAAATTTGGTGTTTTGTTGCTCTAAGCATGGAACGCTATGAATCAATCAACCCTTTTCAATCAGGAAGAGAAAGAGAACAAGATAACTTTTCTTGTTGTTGTTTTTGCAGAGTTTTTGATTTTTTTTGTTTGTTTTTTGTTTTGTCGCCGTCCCAGACACAGTGATGCCCAGGAGCTCAGGCTGGGACGGCACAAGGAGAAGGTCCCCGATGGAGTAAAGTCTCAAGTAAAGTCTCACCATGGAGACGTTACTGACGTTTAAAGTCCCTCCGAGATTTCCCACCAAGTGCAGAAACTCAGCGTAGTCCGGACCGGAAAGTTGCGCCCCGGAACCTTTTGCGCACGCGCCGCTCGGAGCCCGGGCGCCTATGGGCGTTGCGCGCGCAGCGTCGAGGACGCCAGCGGTTGCCGTGGCGACGCCGGCCAAGATGGCGGCTGCGCCTCCGTCGGATTCTGACGGCCGTCAAGCCGAGAGGTGAAGGCCGGGTGCCCCGAGTGCATCCTTGCCACCCACGAAAAGGGGGTGCCTTGCCCCCCCCGGGGCTCAGGCCGCGCACGTGGGCGACCCTGCGGGTTGTCGGGGCCCGGAGTCTGGACCCCCCATCACTCAGCGGCACCCCCAGAGTTTTCTTCCCTCCCCTGACAGCCACCCCGACTTTCTTTTCTCTCCCAGCAAGGAGGCCAGCTCGAAATGGCTGGATGCGCACTACGACCCCAAGGCCAACATCCACACCTTCTCCTCCTGCCTGGGTGAGTGTGGGGGCGCGGCGCCCGGGTTCGGGGAGGGGCGGGAGCGAGCCCCGACGCCCTGACGCGCGGCCCCTTGTTTCCCAGCGCTGGCGGATCTGCACGGCGACGGGGAGTACAAGGTAAGCGTCCAGAAATCCCTCTCGCCAGGAATTCACGTGCACTGTGAAAAAGCACGTTCCGTGTGTGTGTGTGTGTGTGTGTGTGTGTGTGTGTGTGTGTGTGTTTTAATTTTTCCGCGCAAGGAAACGGGGACCATTCCATTGCATGATGCAGCTTGCAGAAACTAAAGCAGAAAAGTCCCTCCGAGATTTCCCTCAAGACTTAAGCCTCTTAGTTGTGCGAATACATAATCTTTGCTGCGGGGGCACAAACCTGGCACAGGGCTGGAGCGATAGTACAGCGGGTAGGGTGTTTGCCTTGCATGAGATTGACCCGGGTTTGATTCCTAGCATCCCATATGGTCCCCCGAACACCGCCAGGAGTAACTCTTGAGTGCATGGGCCAGGAGTAACCCCTGAGCATACCCGGGTGTGACCCAAAAAGAAAAAAAAAACTGGCACAAACCTGGGGCATCAGAAAAGCAAGGGAAGGGGCCGGAGCATTTACGTGGCCGACCCAAGTTTGATATCTGGCATCCCATATGCCACCCACACACACACATACACACACACTGCACTGCCAAGGAGAAATTCCTTAGTGCAGAACTAAGAGTAACCCCTGAGCATCACCGGGTGTGACCCCAAAAACAAAATTTAAAAAAAATAATAGAAACACGAGGGAAGGCAAAAGGGAGTCAAGTGGGGGTTCTGTTTCCTCAAAGGGAAGGATTTTGTGTGGGAGAGTACAATGGTTAGGGCACTTGTTCTGCAGTCCAGCTCATCGTGCATTTGATTCTAGGCACCACCAGGAGTGATCCCTGAGCACAGAGCCAGGAATAAGTACTGAACATGGTGGCTGAGAGTGGCCAAAAAATGAACCCCCCCCCCCCGCAAAAATAGAAGACTTTAAGGTTAACTGATAGCTGACAATTGTTGAGCCAAAAAATGAGCATCTGGGGATGGATTATGAGTCTCTACTTTTGTATGCATCTGGGGATTGATGAGGAGTTTGCTTTGTGACCGAAAGTATTACATAATATTTTCATATTTAAATATTTTAAAATATTATATATACCTGTGTGTGGCTTTGGGTTTGATCCTTGGCACACAAACTATTTTAAAATAAAATTAGGGGGCTAGAGAGATAGCACAGCAGGTAGGGCGTTTGCCTTGCACGCAGCCGACCAGGGTTCGATTCCCAGCATCCCATAGGGTCCCCTGAGCACCGCCAGGAGTAACTCCTGAGTGCAGAGCCAGGAGTAACCCCTGAGCATCACCGGGTGTGACCCAAAAAGCAAAATAAATAAATAAATAAATAAATAAAATTAAGGGCCAGAAAATAGAGCAGGTAAGGCACTTGGTTTGCATGTGACCAATCTGGGTTCAATCCTTGGTACCACATTTGATTCTCCGAGCACTGCTGGGTATGATCCCTGAATGCAGAGCCAGGAGGAAGCCCTGAGCACACTTGGGTATATCCACCACCCAAATTTAGCATTGTAGGTTAATATTTTTTCTGTGGGGAGGGTTTGGGTACATCTGACGATGCTCAGGGGTTACTCCTGGCTCTGCACTAGGGAATCACTCCTGCTCGGGGACCATATGAGATGCCAGGGATGGAATCCAGCAAGGCATGTGCCTTACCCTCTGCACTCTCTCTCCAGCCTACAAAATTTTGTGGTTGGGAATGTGGGGAGTCAAAGACACAGCACCCCTGCCCTCCACGCAGGGGTGATCTGGGGCTCTCTTCAAGCTGCCACTATGGACCCCGCTATGGGTCACTCAGCAGTTAGGCCGCTGTAATGATACAGTGTCTTAGCCCCATAATGCTGCGATAGGTCAGGTTCTGCTCAGGAGGGCCTGGACTCGAGAAAGAGCTCCTCCCTGGGGCCCCTGCGAGGCCATCTCAGCGGGCTATACCACAGGGGAGAGGGTACACTGTGGGGGTGAGTGGAAGGGCACCCCCAGAAGGGCTCAGCCCCAGGAGCGGGGCAGTGGCCGAGCTGCCAGTGGGCCGCCTCTCTCTGCAGCTGGTGGTGGGGGACCTGGGCCCCCGGGGCCGGCAGCCCTCCCTGAAGGTGCTCAAGGGGCCCACTGTGCTGAGTGAGAACCCGCTGCCCGCGCTGCCCACGGCGGCCACCACCTTCCTCATGGAGCAGCACGAGCCCCGCACGCCTGCGCTGGCCGTGGCCTCGGGCCCCTGCGTCTACGTGTACAAGAACCTCAGGCCTTATTTCAAGTTCACGCTGCCGCCGCTGCCCACCAACCCCCTGGAGCTGGACCTGTGGAACCAGGCCAAGGAGGTGAGCCCCGCGGGCTGCGGCAGGGACTGGCGGTGCACTCGGCTCGTGCTCCCGGCCCCACCGCCTCCCCTGGCCTCTGTCGCAGGACCGCATCGACCCTCTGACCCTGAAGGAGATGCTGGAGGGCATCCGGTGAGCACCCGCGTCCCCGCCGTCCGGTCCCCTTCCACGGCCCAAGTGCTTGTGTCCTCCCGGGAAGGGGAACCCGGGCCCCAGTTCTGGCGTAACCTGCTAGAGACTGACCCCTCTGCCCGCAGGGAGAAGGCGGAGGTACCTCTGTCGGTCCAGTCTCTCAGGTGCGTGGGGGGACGGGGTGCAGGTGGGACCCCCTAGTGCGCCCGGGCTGTGCAGGATGGGAGTGGGGGGGGGGTGGGGAGGTCGGGGCCGCGCATGCGCACTTGGTGTCCCCACCCAGGTTCCTGCTGCTGCTGGACCTGAGCGAGATGGAGGCGTTCGTGAACCAGCACAAAACGCGGCCCATCAAGCGCCAGGTAACGCCCCCTCGTTACCCCCCTCCCACCTCCACCACCACCACCCCTGGGGGGCCCTTGCCGGACTGGCACACAGAGAGATGATTGATGTTGGGCCGCTTCACTGCCCCCTCGGCCAGGGCAGTGCGGCTCACTGGCGATCCCGACAGTAAAGAGCGTCCGGGGGAGGTAAAGTGACCCCCGCCGACGTCGCCCCCGGGGCTGCTCGCTCTTCACTGCCACTGCATCCACCCGGCTCCTCGTCCCAGGGCGTCAGGGAATCCTCAGCACCTCCATGTTTCTGGGCCTCTTTGATAAAGTCACTGATTATTCATTTATTGGCTTTATGAGCCGGTCACCTGCCGGTCATTGGCTACGTTTCCCTCTGGTTCACTTCCTGTTTTGCTTAGTTGTTTTGGGGGGGGCTGGGGAGCCTCCCAGGTGGTGCTCTGCTGGGTCGGGGAGCCCCACCAGAGACCCTTAGCCAACTAGGCAGGAGAATCAACGCAAGGGCTCGGGAACTCTGCTGGGGGAGTCTCCCAGGCTGCACTCAGCGTGCTCAGGAGATGATATCAGCTTGCGCTGTGCCCTCTAGCCCCTTAGTGGTACTTAGTTCTGTTTCTGATAGGCTACCCTCCGGCTGGCCCCACTCGACATTGGAGAGAGGCGTGGGGGGCTGCGCCCATCACAGACATTATTGCTAGCCTCAGCTGGGTGACTGGCAGCCCGGTGCCCAGCAGCTGGGTCTGCAGGTGTCTGTATCAGGACATGAGTCTGGGCCTGGAAAGGGGCAGCTCGCTGAGTCCAAGCCGGTGGTCGGCACCCACTGTCCCTGCAGCTCTGTGCTTTCTTCTCGCCCTGGGCCTGGGGGCATTTCTGTCGCCTTAAACATAATCGCACGTGAGGCAGCGCTCTCCGCAGTCCAGATTTCGGCCCTTTTAAGTTTATTTCCTTAGAATCCAGGAAAAGGCAGTCCTTCCCTGCTCTGTCATTCTCTTGCAAATCAGGAAAGGAACACATCCGCATAGTAGAAATGGTCGAGAGGCAGAGTAGGGACAGGAGTGGACACCAGCCGCCATCCCATTGTCCAGAAGTGGCCGGTGTTCGCACCTTCTGTTCATAACTGTTAGCATAGCATAACTGTTATGCTTGTGATAGCATAACTGTTAGCTTGTTTTCTAAACTTTTCTTTAAATACATTCCTTCCAGCGATGCCCAGGGGTTACTCCTGGTTCATGCGCTCAGGAATTACTCCTGGCAGTGCTCAGGGGACCATATATGGGATGCTGGGAATCGAACCCGTGTCAGGCCACATGCAAGGCCAACGCCCTACTCGCTGTGCTATCACTCCAGCCCCTGCCATTGGTCTTTTGAAATGTGATTTATGGGCGATAGTATAGGGGTTAAGGCACTTGCCTTGCATGTGGCCGACCCCCACAGTTCAATCTCTAGCATCACATATGTTCCCCCAAACACAGAGGAGTAAGCTCTAAGCATGGTCCGGGTGTGGCCCCCCCCCCCCAAAGCAAATAAATAAAATGTGATTCATTTAGGCCAGAAAGCCAGTGGGCTGAGTGCATGCAGAACATGCGTGTGGAAGGACAGTGCCCGAGCCCTAGTACCTTATCACCCCTGAGCACAACTGGGTGTGACAAACAACAGAAAAGGGCACTTATTTTTTCGATGACTGAGTGGCTTTTGTTCCCTGCAGATTCTTTTTTGTTGGTTTGGTTTGTTCTTTTGGGCCACACCCAGCAGTGCTCAGAGGTTACTCTGGTTCCTTAGAACTGGGGATCCCCCCTGGCTGAACTTGGGGAGCAAATTCAGTGCCAGGGATGGAGCCCGGGTCTGCCACCTGCAAGGCAAGCCCCTTCCGTGCTGCACTGTCACTCTAGCCCTCTGGGCTGTGCATGATCGAGCGAGGTCTGCTGTGTTCTCTCTCTCTCTCTCTCTCTCTCTCTCTCTGCTGCCTCCTTTCCCCTCCTGGGCCCCCTTGTCCTGTGGTGCCTTCGGGCTTCTGGAAGCACATAGTCAGTGGAAAGCTCCTGGGTGACCCCAGGCATCCTTCCGCAGACGGTCATCACCGCCATGACCACCTTGAAGAAGAGCCTGGCGGATGAGGACGCCATATCCTGCCTGGTGGTGGGCACCGAGAACAAGGAGCTGCTGGTGCTGGACCCTGAGGCCTTCACCATCCTGAGCCAGGTCTGCGGGCCCTCGCTGGGCCGTCCCCCCTCCCCCCGCGCCTGCCCCAGCCTCCCCTCCCTCCCACTGAGTTCCTGGTGTCATATGTTCAGGGCGGGCAAACGATCAGAGTGAAGGTAAGCAACCCAATCCTGCCACCTGGGGACACCAGCTACTAAAGTTTTGGCATCTTTCTAGACACTTTAAGGGGCTGGAGCAGTCCCGGGCACTGCAGATATCTCTCGCTCTAAAAATGGCCTCATGCTGGACAGACAGCAATGGGGGCTTAGGCACTTTCCTTGCACACCCACCTGAGGTTTGATTCCCAGCAACCGATACAGTCCTCCGAGCACTGCCAGGAGATCTCTGAGCACAGAACCAGGAGTAAGCCCTGAGCACTGCTGGGTATGACCCCAAAACCAAAAGCGTGGCCTCACAGGACTGGACCGTGGAATCGACTCAGTGGCCGGATGTCGTGTCTTGGCAGAGGCCTGGGACGTGGCTCAGCAGTAGATCCATGTCTCACGTGTGTGGGTCCCCGGGTCCGGGGCTCATGTGAGGCCGGATTCATTTCTTCACACTGACAGCAAAGGGCTGTCCCCCTCTTCACAGACTGTCATTGGTCTGTTGGTCACCTACAATCCGTGTGTCACTTGTCCTGTGTCCTATTTACATTGCAGCAGGCTCTCCTGCCCCTGTGAGCTGCGGTCAGCACCGCCTCCCTGCGTTCCTGCTGGTCACGTCTAAGTATGTCAGAGGGAGGAGACTTAAAGATTGGCTCAAAAAAAAAGAAAAAAAAGACTTTTGTTTCATGGCCTTTTTTTTTTTTTTTTTTTTTGCTTTTTGCTTTTTGGGTCACACCCAGCGATGCACAGGGTTACTACTCCTGGCTCATGCACTCAGGAATTACTCCTGGCGGTGCTCAGGGGACCATATGGGATGCTGGGAATCGAACCCAGATAGGCCGCGTACAAGGCGCGGCCCTACCTGTTGTGCTATCACTCCAGCCCCTGTTCCATGGACTTTTTCCAGAGAAAAACTGCACAATTCTTGGTTGGTTTGGGGGCCACATCCAGCAGTGGTTAGAGGGATCATTCCCGCTGGACTCCAGGTGTCCAGTGTACAAAGCCAGTGCCCAGCCTTCATGCTGCCCTATAGGGACTCTGGATAAACCCCAGCAGGCCGTGAGGGGACTGGGCCTTTACACGGGCGCACTGGGGTCACCGCGCCTTTGCTCCGCAGATGAGCCTGCCCAGCATCCCCGTCTTCCTGGAGGCCTCCGGCCAGTTTGATGTCGAGTTCCGGCTTGCCGCTGCCTGCCGCAATGGGAACATCTACATCCTGCGAAGGTAGCCGCGCCCGGGCGTCTGGAGGGCAGGCAGCGGCGCTGCACCTTTCCTGATGCTTCTTGGGAAGGGACCCTAATGTGCGCTAGTGCGGGTGGGCGCATGCCCCACCAAGTGCCCTGTCTAACTCGGCGCAGTAAAGCCAGCACTGGTTTGACTGGTGCGACAGCACAACGGGGAGGGCATTTGCGTTGCATGTGGCCGACCCAGATTCGACCCCCTGCATCCCATATGGTCCCTCGAGCACGCCAGGAGTGATTCCTGAGTACAGAGCCAGGAGTAACCTCTGTGCACCACTGAGGGTGACCCAAAAAGCAAAAAAAAAAAAAATTTGTGCTGATTTGGAGCACCTGTGCTCTGTGCTAAGTGTCACCTATGGGTTGGGGATCTATTGACAGACAATAAATGTTCCCTAAGACTAGAGTGGTAGTGCAGCAGGTAGGTGCTTGTCAGGCACGCAGCTGACCTGGGTTCAGTCTCTTGGCTCCCTGTATGGTGCCCCAAGCCCACCAGGAGTGAGCCCTGATTAAAGAGCCAGGATAAGCCCTGTGCACTGCTGGGAGTGGCCCAAAACTCAAACAATAACAACTAAATGAATGTATGAATAAATGAACATCCCTGCCCATGGTGATAAGAGATGTTGGTCAGTGCAGTCGGCAGGTATAAGTTGATGAGTCAAGATTTGATTTCCGATTGGCATGTGCTGGTGGGCATCAGGGTTGGACAGTGAGTGAGGAGGAGGCAGTTAGTGGCAGAGAGAGAATAGGCTTTGCCTGCGAGAACGGGGGACGGGGTTCAGCTGCCCGGTACCACACGCTCCCCCAAGCTCCCAGCACCACCAGTGCGGCCACAGAACAAAACCAGTTCAGAAAGGGAAGAAACTGAGGCAGGCAGAAAGGACCTCCCCAGCCTCGAGGAGTTGTGTTGGAACAGCGCAGGGCCCCGCAGGACTGGCAGGGCCCAGTGGTCGTCTTGGGCCTTCTCAGTGCAGAGCGATGGGAGTCGATCCCCAGCACCATGTTGCTTGGGGTTTGGGAAAATTTTTTTGCAGGGGTGGTGGAGAGTCAGACCTGATGTTTCTCAGGGCTCACTTCTGGCTCTGTGCTCAAGGATTACTCCTGGCTCTGTGCTCAGGGCTCACTCCTAGAGGTGCTCAGGACTCCATGTGCAGTGCTTGGGATCAAGCCAGGCTTGGCAGGATGGAAGTACTATACCCACTCTGTGGTCTCTCTGGCTCCCCCAGGTTTGAGAAATTGGCTGGGCGTGAATAGACTGGGAGGGGGCCCAGAGGTGCACGTGTGGGGTTTCGACCTCCCGTGGTGGGGTGAAGAGAGATGAGGGGATGGGCGAGGGGTGGGTTCCAGATGAGAGAAGCTGAGGACGGGGTTTACAGAGCGGCTGCCCACTTCTCTGTCCCCCAGGCCAGCTTCTACAGCTCTACATACATAGCACATAAGGGCTTGTATGGTCATGTATGAATCATGTACACATGATGTGCAGGTTACGTAGAGGTCACATGCAGGTCACTGTAGCAGAGCGGAGACCCTCCTGTGTGTCACATCACCCTACGGCCTGGGACCTGGGGAGCAGCAGGGGTTCCCAGCGGCACTGGGAGAGGGTGTCTTTGTTCCAGAGACTGCAAGCACCCCAAGTACTGCATCGAGCTGAGTGCCCAGCCCGTGGGACTCGTCCGCGTCCACAAGGTCCTGGTGGTGGGCAGCACCCAAGACTGCCTGCAAGGCTTCACCCACAAGGTGAGACCCCCGGCCGGCTTCCCGATCCCCACCCGATGGTCGCTGTGGCCCGAGCTCCCTGCAGACTCCGCTGCTCCCTCCCAGGGGAAGAAGCTGTGGACAGTGCAGATGCCCGCTGCCATCCTGACCATGAACCTGCTGGAGCAGCGCTCCCGGGGCCTGCAGGCCACCATGGCCGGGCTGGCCAATGGCGAGGTCCGCATCTACCACGACAAGGCACTCGTCAACGTCATCCGCGCCCCGGTGAGCCCCGTCTCCCCACCCGCAGCATTGACAGGGGCGCCTGGTGTGGCCGAGTGTCGGGGCGGGGCCAAACACTGGCACCGCTCCACCTCCAGGTGACAGTGACCCCTCAGACGCTGCTGATTCAGACAGGGTGGTCGAGGCCAGCGGTGGCTGGGACTGTGAGGGAGAGATGAGGGGTGATGGGGAATGGGGGCATGTGGGTGGGGAGGAGGGAGGGATATGGGGGGCCAGGGAGTGGAGTCAGGTGAGGGGCGTTGGGAGAGCAGGGAGGGCTGGGGAGGGCTGGGAGAGGGAGGGGTCTCGGGTTGGAATGCACAGGACATATGGCGGCAGGTGATGGTGTGCGGGGCCTCACCACGGCCCGATGGATAAAGCACGTTGCAGACAGAGCGGCGGGAGTGGGGCTCAGGGCAGGAACACGTTAGTGGGATCTGCACCGAGGCCCAGGCTCCCGTCCTGAGAGCGGCCGTTTGTCCTGAGTTCAACCAAAGGCCTGGGCAGGAGCGACATATCAGGCCGGGCACAGGCTTTGTCTGCATGAGGCCAGAAATTGATCCCTGGTACCCGAGTCCCTGAGCACGCAAACCAAGAAACCAACCCATCAGACTGACCTCAGGGCCGGGCACCCTGGGAGGTTTGAAAGGAGGAGAAAGGCCCTGGGGCTCTAAGAGGACGCAGGTGAAAGATTGGCTGGGAGAGAGGCTGGCGGTGCACCCCGAGAGCCCCCGGCCTCACCTCCTGCCTCAAGTGCGTCTCCGGGGTCTTCTGTCCCTACCCTCCAGCGCCCTCTTTTCTCCAGTCTGAGGTGGTCTCTGGCTAAATGCTGTCACCTCCCCATAGGACGCCGTGACCAGCCTTTGCTTCGGCCGCTACGGGCGGGAGGATAACACTCTGGTCCTGACCACGAAAGGTGAGGGGACAGGTGGCGTGGGGAGGGGGCGCGGGCTGCCCAGGGCCTGCATTCTGTGTCCTTTTTGTAAATTTAATTTTATTGTTTTGTATTTTGGGCCACACCCAGCAATGCTCAGGGGTTACTCCTGGATCTGCACTCAGGAATTCCCCCTGGCGGTACTTGGGGGGCCCTATGGGATGCTGGAGATCGAACCCGGGTCAGCCACGTGCAAGGCAAATGCCCTCCCTGCTGGACTGTCACCCCGGCCCCTCTGTGTCTTTTTGTCCCACCTCCCCGTCCTCACTGCCTGGGGGTCCAGTCTGTGCCCCAGCTTCCCCGGGAGCCCCAGTGCCCGCCACCGGGCCAGGGTCCTCCCAGATGGTCGGTGGATGAGAACCAATGAGGGGACTGACCCAAGATGTGCTTGGAGTGTCCTGTCGCCTCCAGAAACTTGACCTGCTCTGGGGGCTGGTTGGGGGGGGCGGGGAACTGTGGGGACAGTGAGCTCGTCCCCTGCACTTCCCCAGGTGGTGGCCTGATGATCAAGATCCTGAAGCGCACTGCGGTGTTTGCTGAGGGGGGCGGGGAGGCAGGTCCCCCACCGGCCCAAGCCACCAGGCTCAGTGTGCCACGGAAGACCCGGCTGTACGTGGACCAGACGCTGCGCGAGCGGGAGTCAGGCACGGGTGAGGCTCCCGCCCAAGGTGCTTCCCTCCTGCCTGGCCCTCCACGCCCATCTATTCATCCTGTGCCCATGGCACTGCCAGGCCTCATGCGGGCTGCCTGCATGGGGCCAGGGCACCCCAGGAGCTTCCGGTCACAAGGCGGGTATCCAGGCTCCACCGAGGGCCCAAGGAGTGGACAGGAAGTTTGGGAGGCGGGGCTGGGCTCGGGGAGAGGCGGCCCTGCCTGCAGCCTGAGAGGGTGGGAAGGGGGCAGCCCAGTGGGAGGGGGAAGAAGGGCCTGGGGAGGAGCTCTGGGGAGACCATCCCCCACCCTGCATTACACAGAGGGAGGGGGGCCCAGGGGTGACGCTGGAAGAGGGCCTTTGCAGAAGACTCAGCTCAGCCTGGCAAATGAGCCCATTTGGGGGGTGAACTGGGTGGCACTGATGGGGGTTTGGAGGTGCGGATGGTGTGAGTGTGAGGCGTGGCTGGGCATCCAGGAGGTGACCGTTGGGCAGTGAGAATGCAGCTCGCCAACCCAGCCCCAGCTGCCGGGACGTGCCTTGCAGCCCCGAGAGTGGGCACGGTTAGCCCCGGCTGGGCAGATTGTCCAGGGAAAGAAAATGCAGGATGAGGACGGGCCAAGGACAAGGCTCAGGGGCACCCAGACCGCAGGGCCTTGGTCCTCCCATACTGCCAGCCTCCTCGCCTCTGGGGCCTGAGCCCCTCCCTGCCTGCTGTCCCCAGCAGCTTCTGTCCCTCTGCAGCCATGCACCGGGTCTTCCAGACTGACCTCTACCTGCTGCGCCTGCGAGCTGCCCGTGCCTACGTGCGCGCCCTCGAATCCAGCCTGAACCCCGTGTCAGCGGCCGCCCGGGAGCCGCTCAAGCTGCACGCGGTGGTGAGTGCCAGGCAGGGGCGGGGCGGGCAAGGGCATGCCAGCTGCGCCCAGAACCAATGCCAATGCCCAGGGGCCCAACTCCATGGTCAGATTGGGGACGAGGACACTTTGCCCGGGGGCCCAAGGTCCTCTGCTGGGCGGCACGGGGAGGGCAGCACAGGTAACCTCCAGGTACCAGATGGACCTGGAGACTTCTCTGAGGGTCCGTTTCCCTTCCGGAATGAGAGGAAGGAAGTGGGCGTGTGGGTGAGAGCCGAGTGGCAGGGGAGAGTGCTGTGGGGGGAGGAACGAGGGAGGGGAGGGGTCGGGGGCGGCTCTGGGGCAAGGATGTGAGGAGGACACGGTGGCCAGCAGCTGCCCTGTCCCCCGTGCCCCGGCCTGCTCTCCCCGCTCGAGGTGGGGCCCAGCTTTCCCCTGCGGGTCCTTGTGCGCTGGAGCCCACCTTGGGCTTCTGGGCCTGCAGTGGGGGGCAGATGACTGGTGCATCCGGAGGAGCAGAGGACACCCAGCCTGGCCTCCTGTCCCCCGCAGGTGCAGGGCCTCGGCCCCACGTTCAAGCTCACGCTGCACCTGCAGAACACGTCTGCGGCCCGCGCCGTCCTGGGCCTGCTCGTGTGCTTCCTGTACAGCGAGGCACTCTACAGGCTGCCCCGCGCCGTCTTCAAGGTACGGGTGGCCCGGGCCTCACGCCTGACCTTCCAGGACCCTCAGTGGGATGGCCAGGAAGTGTGGGGGAACCCCCGGGTGCAAGAAGCAGGCCCGGCCTCAGGGGTCCCGGGGTGCGGGACCCTGCAGCATCCTCTCCCCGACCCCCATCCGGTCCCAGCCCATTTTCTGTCCTTGTCCCTTAAATCAGGTCCCTTTGCTGGTGCCAGGGCTCAGCTACCCCCTGGAGACCTTGGTGGAAAGTCTCAGTGACAAGGGTGTCACCGATGTCATCAAGGTAAGCGGTCTCTGGGAGAGAGGACCAGGCGGGGGCCTGCGGGGCGGCTGCAGCACGTGCTCCTCCCGCAGGTGCTGGTGCTCCGGGAGGGCCAGAGCGCGCCCCTTCTCAGCGCCCACATCAACATGCCCGTGAGCGAGGGGCTGGCGGCCGCCTGAGCCGGGCTGGCTCCACCATAGCTTCTGCAGCCCCAAGACCCTCCCCACGCCGCCCTCCTGTGCCTCCTGAAGCCCGGGGATCCGTCACAGAGCACTGGAGGTGCAGCTCCTGCCCCGGGTAGAGCGGAAGGAACACTCGGACTCCCGGCTGGACGTTGCTTGGGGGTTGCCGGCGAGGTTGCAGTTTGCTCGGTCACAGGCGAAACCCATGTTCCAGGCCTCCCCCACCCCCCGAGCCGAGCAAGGGGCCCCCGATTGCAGCTAGGGAACCGGAACCATGGGAGGTGACCAGCCCACTAGTCCCGCAAGGCCCCATGAATGCTGGGGACTGTGCAGGGAGGGGCAGTGGCTGCTGCTGGGGGGTTCCTGCCCAGAGAAGACCCCAGGAAGGCCGGGACAGAGCGAGGGGAGGGATGTTACCGTCTGAGGGAAGCGCACAAGTGACAGACACCCACTCCTACCCCCCACCAACGGCCAATCAAGACTGGAGCTCTACTCAGTCACGTGGGTGCAGTTCTCTGGGCAGCGGTCATCTTGAAAGAATTTGCTAGAAGGGGCCAGGCAGGAGGTGTGCAGGGAGACGAGAGCCTGTGTCAGACCTAGGGCGCAGCACTGTCCTAAGGCGGGTGCGACCCCATGTGCTCTTGGGGACCCCCAGTGCCCCCTGGGTCCAGGCTGCCCCTCTGGCCCGATTCAGCTCTCGTGCCCCAGAGGCAGAGGCGAGGAGCAGGAGCAGTGTCACCCCATGAGCGTCCGGGGTAACTGGGGCACTTTGGCCGAGGCCCTCCCTCGCCAACAGCCCAGAGCTGTAGGTCGCCAGAGTCAGCAGAGTGACCTTGATGCACTTCCATTTTCTAGGACTCCATCAGTAGTTTGACTTTTCTCACTGGCTTGCTTTTCCGTCCTGGTGGGCAACTCTCCCCCACCCCCCGTCTCATGGCCCCCTTTCTCCATCCCTGCTTCAGGGTGCCCTGTGTGCTCCCCAGAACCTCTCCCTTGAGACTGTCTTTGCTGCCCAGGGCTGATTCTGGGACCCACATCCTCCCCCCGCGGCTTCCCGCCTCGCCCCTGAAGCTCCTCCCTCAGGGGCCACTAGGCTCTGCCCGGTGCTGCATGTGCTCTCCGAGGGAGCATGGCGTCTGTGCACCGCGCAGGGGCTGCTTGGCCAGTGGTCCGCGTGACGGTTTGGTCAATAAACAGCCAAGTGGAAAGACCCCATCCTGATTCCTGCACACTTCACAGCGCCCCGGACCTTGCAGGCTGCGCCTCCTCTCTGAGCTTTTGCAATGCGGGGACACCTGTCGTGTGCTGCCATCATGCTGGGCTGTGGGCGGAGACAACCGTCCTGAGTCTTGAGTCATTTCCCTTCATTTCCCGTTCTCTTGAACTCCGGTTTAGCCCAGCCTGCATCAGAATGAGAACGGGGCCGCTCCTGGTTCTCTTCTGTGCTCATCTGTTGCCTTTTTCTCTTTCCTGAGGCTTTTATCTTCACACCTTTTTCCCGAATTGGGAAAATATATTTTAATAATTTTTAGGGGGACTTGGGCCACTCCTGGCAGTGCTTCAGGGAACATATGTGATGCTGGGGATTGAATCAGGGTCAGCCTCAACTCCGGCAAACACCTTATTGTCTCTGACTCCATTGGAAAACAAAAACAGGGAAAAAAATCTAGTTTTCAACTATTTTTATTCTCTTCAGTTTTTATTGTGGTATTTGGTTTTGTGCCACACCCAGCTGTGCTCAGGGCACCTTTGGGGGACAGATCAGACTTGGGTCAGCCACGTCCATGCAAAGCAAGCGTCCTACTTGCTGTACTATCTCTCCAACTCCTAAACGGCACTTTTTTTTGCACATGGGATCAAATAAGAAACCTCGAGAAAGTTCAAAATATTTTGGGTGAAATGAAAACACAACATACCAAAATGTGTTATTTACCATGAAAACGCAGAGGAACATTTATGGGCTGCATATATTAGAGAATTCCACGGGATGTCAAAAGACCGCGTGGCCGCCCACCTTCCAGATGGTCAGACTTCTTCGTCAAGATCATGAACGATCGGTTTGAGGCCCTTCATGTTCCCGGAGCAAACAGATGCCATTGGGCTACACTAGCACGCGACAGGGACAAATGGAGACGTTACTGGCGCCCACTCGAGCAGATCGATGACTAACGGGAAGTTAAGTGATTAAGTGATATTAGAGAAGAAAAATCTAACATCAGTTTGGAAGGGAAATAAGAGCAAATGCAATTCCCAAAGGAGCAGACAGAGTAACAGGGGGCTGGAGCGAGAGAACAGTGAGTGAGGCGCTTGCCTTGAACGCAGCCAACCCGCATATGGGCCCCCACAGCCTGCCAGGAATGAACCCTGAGCCCCGAGCACTGCTGGCTGAGGCCCTAAAGCAAACAAAGTGTACATATAGTCCATTTGGTGGGTCAGAGTGCACAAAGGGCTGGAGTATTTACTTCCCTTGCGGGCAGCCTGGATTTGATCCTTGCCCAAGCACTGCCGGGATCAAACCCTGACCAGGTGTGACGCAAAATTCTAAGAAATTTAAAAATAAATTCTACGAATAATTTGAGGTTCGCTGTCCAAATGGGGCTTCATAAACCATGAATGCTGCATAAAACAACAAATGTTGGGCTGGAGAGTATAAGGGTTAAGGCACTTACTTGTCCCCTGCATTCCTGCCTCCAACCTTCATTCAGACTGCCAGGAGTAACTTCTGGGCTCAGTCCCAGGAATAGCCCATGAGCACAACTGGATGTGGCCCCCAAATTAAAAATTAAATACAAACAAACATACACTGCCCTCCCGTTGTTTGATTTGCTCAAGTGGACCCAGTAACGTCTCCATTGCGAGACATCTTGTTACTGTGTTTGGCATATCGGGGAGCTTGCCAGGCTTTGCCGTGTGGGCGAGATACTCTCGGTAGCTTGTTGGGTTCTCCGAGAGGGGCGGAGGAATTGAACCCGGCTCGGCTGGGCTGGCAAGGCAAACGCCCTACCGCTGTGCTATCACTCCAGCCCTAAAAATATTTCAGAATAAATCTAGGGACCAGAGAGATCACCCACAGATGAATGCACTGCTTATATGTGGCACCACTTATAGGCCCCCTCCAAGCACCACCAGGAGCAACTCCCAGCATCAGAGGCATGATCCAAAACAAAGAACAAATGAAGGGTTCAGATGATAGTTCAGCAGGCCAGAGCCTCTGTCCGACACGTGCCGGGCCTCAAGTTCAATCCTGCTGGCAGGGTGACCTCCAGGTACCGCTGGGGGGTGGCACAGGTAACCCCCAGTATACCATAGGCCTTGAGCAGTTCTGCACCAGAAGCTGATGACGGAACTGAAAGGCGGGTGCGGCTGGGCCACAGGTTGCTGAGAATGGCCTCCAGGCCTCCTGAGCACTTCTGGGTAGCCCCCACCCCCGTCCCTGCCCCCCCCCACACATACTCCAGTAAACAAATCTAAAAACAGTGTGATCTTTGTAAGAAAGTCGGGAACTTTATTGCAAACACAAATGGAGGGCTATACCGTGTTCCTGAATGGGGAACTTCCATTTCACGTAGGGTCAGCTAGGGTCAGCCTCCCCCAAACTCCTCCGCAAATGGTTCCGGTCCCGTGCACAGACCCAAGGGCACCTCAGTGGTGGGGCCTGACAGCTGATTCTCAGGGTGCAGACAGCAGGAATCTGGGGGCTCCCCCCGAGTCGGCGCATGTGGCCATCACCTACCAGCGAGGCCCAGCGTCAGTCTCGGAAACACCCCTGAGGGAGAGGCAATGAGGTGGGCTTCCCCTCACATGACTGGGACATGCAGAGTCAATCACAGCAAAACAGGAGCCGGGCTGGCCCAGCGCCCAATAGTCTATATGTAGGGGAGTTGGGGTGGGGGGAGTGGGGTTTCTCTCACAAGCATTTTCTAGCATCTCCCATTGGGGGGAAAAAAAGATGTGGTGTGGGGGGAACGGAAACACACAGGAATTAAAAACAAGCATGAAGACCAGGCGGGACACAAACCAGCCAGGTCACTGGGACCCCCACACTGGTTTTGGTCCCTCGGCTCTCAGCCCACTCCCCAGGGAGCCCTTTAGGACCCCTGGTCCCCTGAACAGCATCCCAGCCCCGCTTCCTCTGGTACACTGACTTTCAACTCTGATCTGGGCTTGAGAAGGTGACGCAGGCCCTTAACCCTGCCCCCCCCCACCTCCCGCAGCCCTGAGGGCTGAAAACCTGGTCTTCCCCCCAGTGAGAGGAAACGGGAGCTCAGTTCTCCAGCTCAATAAAACCCCTGGGCCAGCAGCTCCAGGAGCCCTGGGGGAGCGTTAGGGGAGGACCCTAACCCTGTGCCCAGCACCCCGCCCCTTCGTTTCAAAGACCTGGGTCCAGCCAGGAGAGTCCACTCACAGCCCGGTGGTCTTGGCAGGGCTAAGCGTCACGGGGGGCCTGCAACCCAATTTCTCAGAAAAGCTTCTAGCTTGAGAGTGCCAGAGCAGGCAGAGGGAGGGCTGTGGAGCCCCAACACCCACCCCAAGGCCTGGGGAGCCCTGTTCTGTGCCCCGGGGCTACCGGGAGGAAGCGGGAGTGGCTGCACCACGGAACTCAAGAAGGTGGAGGGATCCAGAACTAAGTGGGAGTGTATTAATGGGGGGCCTGGCCAGCAGCAAGAAGCACGGCCACAGGGGTAGGGGGGGCCTGAGACCCCAACCTGCCCCCCCCACTGAGGCTGGGCCTCAGATGAGCTAGGAACACCCCCGTCCTGGCCACCCACCTCCTCCTGGCTCAGGAAGCCGCGACGCCCGCATCGGCTACCGTCTGGAAGGCGACCCCATCCCCGGGCAGCGGCGAGGACAGGAAGGGCCAGAGCCACACCAGGGCCCAGCGCGGGCCCAGTGCTGCTTGCAGGTTGTGGGCAGGCCCCAGGTCGTAGGCGTGCTGGCCCCGCGCCCACTCCCACGTGGTCTGTCCCCGCAGCAGCAGTGTCCCGTGGAAGAGCAGCCCTGCGGCACACAGCAGCGCCCCCGCCACGCACGTGTCCGTCACGAAAGCCAAGGCGAACTGTGCCAGGGACACTCGGCCTGCGGGGAAAGCGGGGGGGGGGTTTCAGGTGGGAGTGTGCCCCACCCAAGTGTCCCCCTCCAATAGCCCAGCCCGCTGCGCTCCCCCTCCTCGTGGTGGGAGCAGGAAACACCAGGGTGACAGGAGGCGCCAGTAGCAGAAGGAGTTATGGGCGCCTGACCTCCCGCTCACCCACATTCGCGACATCACGCTGAGCCCCTATGCTTGGAGAAGGCTCGCGTCCGCCAGGCTGAGCGCACAGGTGACCAGTGGCCGCTGAGCCAGACCCAGGGTGACCCTGTCAGGTGCCGCCACCAGGAAACGTCCCAAAGTACAGATCCAGGGAAAGAGACAAGTGTGGGTTCCCAGGACCCTGGGAGGCTGGGCTGGGGAGACAGCCCAGTGGGTTAGTGGGTTTCTGCTAGGGGCGACAGAAGTTTCTGGAATTGGGTAGAGGTGATGTCTGAGCAGCACTGGCAGTGCGCTGACAGCCAGTGGATGGTGCCTGAAACGGTAGAAATGCTGGATTGCGTGTTAAGTTTTACTTGGATAAAGAAAACTGGGGTGGGGCTGGAGCAATAGCACAGCGGGTAGGGCGTCTGCCTTGCACGCGGCCAACCCGGGTTCGAATCCCAGCATCCCATATGGTTCCCTGAGCACCGCCAGGAGTAAGTCCTGAGTGCAGAGCCAGGAGTAACCCCTGTGCATCGCCGAGTGTAACCCAAAAAGCAAAAAAAAAAAAAAGAAAACTGGGTTGTCTATGTGGGGGGGGGGCGTGTGTGTGTGTGCATGTGGCTAGAGGGCCAGGGAGGTGGGTGCATGTGTATGCATGCATGCATATGTGCATTTGTGTACACATGTGCACGTGTGTGTGTGTGTGTGTGACTGAGAGGGTCAGGGAGATGTGTGCATGTGTGTATGTGTCAGTGTGTGTTTGTGTGTGTGTGTGTGTGCACGGGCACATGTATGTGACTGCGTCACTGTCCTTACGCAGACTGAAGCCTACAGGACCAGTGACCGGGTGGTTCTGGAAGACCAGGCTGGACACATAGATGTGGGGGACCGATCTAGGGGTTTGAAGGCAGGGAATGCCACCTCGACCCGCATACTAGAGCCCCAGGGGCCAGATAAAGGAAGAAGCGACCACAGAAAGGAAGGAAAAACCCCAAAGAGCCCCAAGGTTGCTGAGACTCCGGGCGGGAGCCTTCAGGGAACTTAGGGACGATGGGTTCCACAAAAATGGAAAAGAATCAAAAGAGGCCCCATGGGCTTCATGACGAAGGTTTGGGGACTGGGGCAGAGACGGGGATGAGGACAGAGGTCAGTTGGGAGGAGGTGTTTGGGAGCAAAAAGAGAGTGGCCAGCAAGAGAAATGGAGGGGACAGAGGGAGAGGAGGAGTGATCTGGGGATGACAGGTTATGGATTCTGACAAGGATGGGGTGCAGACGTGGAAGCGGGGAGAGGAGACAGGGAGGGCACAGCACTTGGCTCCCAGCCAGCACCGCCACATGTGCTGAGACCCTCTTGACCATTCCCCATGTCGGAAACCCCAACAAGGAGAGGAAAGGAAGCCACACTTTCAGACCCCCTCGATCTGGAGAGACTGAGAGGACCCCCGCAGGAGAGGAAGGGGGTTCCGGGGAGGCTGGGGTCGTGGGGGAAGCCAGGGTCCTAGGGAGACTGGGGGAGACCAGCAGTCCTGGGGCAGGGGGGTCTCTGAAGCCCCTGAGAACTCCCACCAGCAGGGGGTCCTTGGGACAATGTTCAGAAGCACAAAACAAGGGGGCATGAAGAGTCGGGGTGCCAGAGGGATAAAGGGGGGGGGGTCGGCCACTGGCCTCATGACCTCCTTATCAGCCTCCCGGCCCACCCCCACCCCACAGCGCCGACTCCACGGCCTGAGCAGCCGGCCCACCTGTGAGCAGCATGAGCCAGGGCAGCAACAGGAGGGCGGCCGTGTGCAGGGGCGCATGCGCGTGCAGCAGGGCCGACAGGGCGGGGCCCAGCAGCACGGCCACGTGGAGCAGGACGCCCCCGGCGTGGAGCAGCAGGCACAGGAACGGCCGGTAGTTGCGGAAGCCCACGCAGCGGCCCAGCAGGCGGCAGTGGTGGTCCCGGCGCAGGACGCACACCCGGCAGGTAGAGCAGTGCCCACTGCGAGGCGGCACCTGGCTCTGGCACTGGTAGCAGTACCTGCAGGAGAGGAAGTGCAGCGTGAGTCCCCCCCACTGTGCCCACACCGCCTCCCCCCCCATTCCACCGGGTCATTCAACAGTAAATGTCGAAGCTGGAGCGACAATATAGCAGGGAGGGCGTCTAGTGCGTTGCGCGGCCCCTGGGTTCCAACCCTTGCGCCCGATATGGCTCTCTGAGCACTATCAGGAGTGATTCCTGAGTAACCTCTGAGCACCGCTGGTTACACCCCTCAAAAGAAAAAAAAGAAGTCAATGCAGGCCTAACACCCGTTCTTTCCTGTGCCTTTCAGTTCTAGCACTGCATGTCTTGGGGCTCTCTCAGCTCCGACATCCCCAACCCTCTCTTCCACCACTGTGACCTCTCCCTGGTTACCGCAGCTGGTACTTGACTGGCACCCAGATTTCACTTCTGTCCCCATCCTCAGGCTGGGTCACCATGGCAGCCACACGGACATCTGAATGTCTGAATCATGGACCGCCTCCAACCCTCCATAGACCTTCCATGTCACCTCTGGCCAAAAAAGGGCTTCCTATATTTTACAGGGGCGCCATTGTAAATCTTTTCGGCACCCCCACCCCCATTCCACAGGGGACTGCTTGCTGTTCCCTAACCCTGCTAGCTACACAGCTGCCTTGGGGCCTTTGCACGATCTCTGCCGCTGCCTGGAACAATTCCCACTCGACTGTGCTTGGCTCAAATGTGAACCTTCTCAACCAGCTTGGGACCACCCTGCTTCAAACTGTAGCCGGCAGCCCCCTGGCCTTGCCTGCTGTGTGTTTCCAGATCACCTACATCTTCAAACACTCTCAATACTCGACAATTTGCTTGGGTTTGTTTGTTTCTTCCGTTTCTGCTGAGAGGGTGCTTAGGGAATGCTCCCAGGGGTGCTGGAGGGGCCAAGATGCAGGGGTGAACCACCCACTCTCCTCCGCTGAGTCATCTCTCTGTCATCCCTTTGTTTTGCTTTCGGGCTTAATTTATCGCCTGTCTGTTCCCCGCTGAAATGGGCCCTCGAGGTCAGGAATTTGACCTCCGATGCCAGGACTGCACCTGGCACATCAGATTGTTCCTTAAATACCCGGGAGGGAACGAAACTCCATCCTGGCTCTCCATCCCAGTTTCTAAAGGAATTCTCTGGCTCTACCTCGTGGATGCGATCATAATCTGACCCTCACATCTTCAGGTCCTCGGGCCGCTCCCTGAGCCGAGAGTTCCCGCGTCTCCCCCACCACGGGATCCCGTGCCCCACTCACGCCCAGCCCTGGCCCAGGCCGCGGCCGGCCAGCATCACGCCCCGGATGCTGGGGTCCGAGCGCAGGAACAGACCCACGTTGCCCAGCAGGTTGAGCAGCTGGAAGGCGGCCAGCGTCACCTGCAAGGCCCGAGCCAGGGGTCCCAGAGGGGGTGGCCCGGGCCCCAGCACCAGCACATAGGTCAGCTCCAGGCCCACGGCTGCAGCCCACAGCGCAGTGAGCACGAGAGGGAGCCGCGCGGGCGACCCCTCAGAGCCCCCCGCAGCCCAGGGCTGCCCCATGGCCAGGACCCTCCGCGGACTGATCCGGCGTACCGCGCCGCTTCCGCATTGGGGCGGGGATAGGAGCCGGAAGGACGTCTGCCACGACCAATAGAAACTCGGAAGAGGAGCAAGGCGCGTTCTGACTCGCTGACGCGGCCCGAGGCGGAGAGGTGATTGGACCGTCTGAATAGCGTAGCTTTGGAATCCGATAGGGCGGCAGCGTCATAGCCCCGCCTCGTCCGCAGAAGCCCCGCCCTCCAGCCCGCGCCGGGCGGGAGTTGCTCCCCCTACCGCGCTGGGCTTTCCGTGCTCAGCACATTCCCGCTGCGCCCCTAGCAGCCCCGGTATTAATAGCTCCGCTTCGGCGCGCCCAGCTGGCCTGGAGCCCCTTCTCTGGCTCGAGTGTCTCCGTCCAGCACTGCAGAAAACACTCCAAACAGCCGGGATTTCTGGCAGTGACGTGGGGACAGGGCTCGCAGACGCCCACCGCCGGCGCAGTGGCAGGGTCGAGAGCGGACTGCGGCCACTCGCCTTTCATTTGATTGCATTTCGCGGGGCCACCCCTGGAGGTGCTCAGAACTTCCTCCTGGCCCCGGGCTCTGGCAGGACTCGAGGGACCGACGCTATGGGGTGGCGGGGATCGAACCCGAACCAACCTCGTGCAGGGCAAAGCGCCTTCCCCGCTGCGTACAGTGTCTCGGGCCCCTGAAGCCCCTGCCACTATCCTCCACCCGCGGTCCAAGGCGGGGGAACTACTCAGAGGGCCCGTGCCTTTCCCAAAGTCACCCAGCGGTGGAACCCCCGTTATGGGACCCGCTCCGATGCCCCCCAATTCTGCTGACCCTGGTCCCAGGGTTGCCTCTTGGCTTGGCCCCTTCCCGAGCGCGTCGCCCCCAACCAGCTCCTCCCACCTGCCCCATAATTAGCGCGAATCCGATCCGGGGCTGGGCCGGCCACTATTTAAGTCTGCGAGGGGAGCCCCGAGCAGGAACACGATAGTGATGGTTATGCAGCCCGAGGGTCTGGGGGTCGGGGAAGGGCCCTTCGCGGGCGGCGGGGGCGGAGAGTACATGGAGCAAGAGGAGGACTGGGACCGAGACCTACTGCTGGACCCCGCCTGGGAGAAGCAACAGCGGAAAGTGAGTGTTTGCCCATTTCCTGATGGCAAAACCGACTGAAGCCCGGAGGTCGTTGGTCCTTGGCATCTAGCTGGTCAGGAGCAAAGCGGGTTTAAAATCAAGGAGCCTTTTCTAGGGCACTGGGCCTCTGTTGTCCCCACAGATGAAAGGGAAACCTGGGAGCACCCCCCCCCCAAGGGCTAGAGCCATAGAACAGAGGGCAGGGTAGGGTGCTTGCCTTGCACACAGCTGACCCGGGTTTGATACCCAGAAACATATATTGTTCCCCAAGCCCCACAGAGTGAGCCCTGAGTGTAGAACCAGCAGTAAACCATGAGCGCTGCCAGGTGTGGTCAAAAAAATATATGAAGGGCTTGGTAAGAGGAGAGGTTCTGGGGTTCCACCCCCCAGGGCTCATTCTCCAGACCCACTGCCCAAGGCTGCTGATAACAGCAGTTGAGTAAGGCCCTAGAGCTCCAAAATTGGGGAGAAACCCCTGCCACCCACCACCATCACACACCTCCTAGTTAAATATCCCCAGGCACTAACCTGACACAGAGGGACTCGGAAGTGTGGGGGCGGGGAACTTCCCCAAATCCCTTGCACCACCCTATCTCCAGTGGGCCTCTATGGTAACACCAACCCAGTTGTCAGATGAGGAAACTGAGGCCCAGAGTGCAGAACTGTGACCCAAATCATATGCCCTCAAAAAACAGGACCGCTGGCATCAGGAGAGATAGGACAGGGGGCAGGGCACTTGCCTTGCACGTGGCCAACCCAGGTTCAATCCGCAGCATCCCATATGGTCCCATATGGTCCCATATGCCCAGCCAGCAGTGACCCCTGAGCACAGAGCCTGCTCCCCCCGTCCGGTTCCCCACCTTGGACCAAATCCGCCTCCTTCCCACATAGTACGTGAGCACAGACAGGTGTGGCCCCAAAACCTCACAATGGAAGAAAACAGGACCCCTCCACCCTGAATCTTTGCCCCTGGCTTGCCCGACCCCCTGTCTTTCCCCAGATGCCCTTTCTGCCCCCAGGAGCCCCTGAGACTCTGAAAAAGCCAGGAGGTCAGGCGTGCCCTGGCCCCCTCGCATAGAAACCTGACTCTGGCCAGATGGACACTTCCTGCTGAGGCAGCGGCTCTGGGGAGCGAGAGGGGCCCCTGGCAGTCACAGCCCAGGTCAGCCTGGTCAGCCCTCGGCCCTCCCCTCCCTGACCTAGTTTCACTGCTGGCTGTTCCACGTGGAGGGCAGAGGATACCTGGGCTCCCGCTGGGATCAGGAAGACCAGGGAATCGGGGTGGGGGAGGCGGGGCGGGGAACCCAGGGGGGCACCATACAATCAGAGGGACTCTGTTCAGCATTTGCCAACAGCATGGCTCCAGGAACAGGGTGCTGGCAGGATGCCGGCTCCTCCCCAAGCCCTCCCCCTGGCTTAGTGGATGGAAGATGGGGGACTGGGAGCCCCCGACTGGCTCCCCGGGGTGTCCCAGGCGACTCACAGCTCCCCAGGCTTCTCCTGCACCTGTCTCAGACGGAGCAAGGCTGGGGACAGTCTCCTGCCGTCATCCCTGGCTTCAGCTCCCCTCTGGGACTGCGACCTCCCCAGCCCTCGCGTCTCCCAGACAGTGACCCACGTGAGACACACACATGCCCGAGACTTGCCTTTTCCCCTGCGAAACTCTCCAGGCTTCCTTCCAACCCTCTTGGAGCCGCTCATTTGCCCAAGGGCTGCATGCTGCAGATGGCGCTGTCCGTCTGTCCGTCCATCCACCAGCCTGAGACCTGGGCACCGAGCCTAGCCTGGGCAGTGGGTGGCTTCCTTCTCCACCACTGTTTAGTACAGTATCACCCCTATCTTTGCTGTGCCTCAGCCCCTATGCCCCCCTGGCCCCGTTCCCCACCTTGGAACGAATCCGCCTCCTTCCCACACCAGACCTGCATTGACTTCATTTTTATTGATTTATTTGACTTTTTTTTTTTTTTTTGCTTTTTGGGTCACACGCACCGATGCACAGGGGTTACTCCTGGCTCTGCACTCAGGAATCACCCCTGGCGGTGCTCAGGGGGTCATATGGGATGCGGGAAATCGAACCCGGGTTGGCTGCATGCAAGGCAAACACCCTACCCGCTGTGCTATTGCTCCAGCCCCTTTGACTTTAAACAGCCACACACAGGCTGTGATTTAGGATACAGCCGGAGCCAAATAAAGCCCCCACCTCAGGAACTTGCAGGGCAGCGAGGACAAAGGCTTCTGTTTCTTCTGTCTGACCCTGTCCGTCCCCCTCACTCTCTCCATCCTCTCTCCCTCGCCCCCACCTCATCTGTCCCTTCTCTGCCAAGCCCTTTGCTTCGGAGGCGGTGTTCCAAATCACAGCCCAGCCCGCCTCCATCTCAGCCTGAAATCGCCCCTGCTCCCTCTGCCCTGAGGATCAAGTTCTAACTCCCTGGCTTAGCATGCAGGAGGCGGCGTGACCTGGCCGCTGCCTGCTGGCCGGCCGGCCCCATGCCCACCCCCTGCTAGCCACTGTCCCTCTCTGCTCAGTGCCTGAGTAGCTCAGCACCCCACAGGCTGGTCCCACGGTAGCCTCCCAACAGGGGGGACACCTCCAGGGTGGTGCCCAGAGCTGCTCCCTCCCACCCTGTCTCAGACAGAGTGACTATCTCATCATGCTTAGTCTTTCTGTTCCAGGAAGGTAAGGACAGTTCATCTGTGGGCCACTCCCACCCTGCCCCACCCACCTCCCACCCCCTCCCGTCAGGCTCCATTCAGCCTCTGGGAAGGGCAGACACTTCACTGGCCAGCACCACTGCCACACCTCCAGGGATGGGAAGCCCACGCCCCTTCAAAATGATGGCCCACCAATCCTTAGAGCATCAGCTTTTTTTTTGGTTTTATTTGGTTTTGTATTTTTTTGTTTTGTTCTTTTTTGCTTTTTGGGTCAGACCTGACGATCCTGTCTGTACACTCAGGAATTGCTCCTGGCAGTGCTCAGGGCACCATATGAGATGCCAGGGATCGAACCTGGGTCAGCTGTGTGCAGGGCAAACGCCCTCCCTGCTGTGCTATCGCTCCACCTCCGCATCCAAACATTTTTGGTTTGTCTTTGGGGGCCCACACCAGCTGCTCAGCAACTATGCCTAGCTCGGTGCTCAGGAGTGAACCCTGGCGGTGCTCAGAGGACCATAGGCAGTACCAAGGCTCACTAGGGTTGGCTGCCTGCCAGGCAAGCGCCTTAACCCCGCACTGCCTCTGCAGGCCCTGAGCGTGGGCTCCAGATGGACTGTCAGGACAGCTGAAACGCTTGTCTGCGGAGGGGAAGACCTGCCCCCGACCGCTAGGTGGCTCCCAGGATGCCTGCCTTGTGCCTGGGGGGATGCTCTGAGTTCCACTATCCTGCCCTGTGCAGGGAGGGACTCAGGACCCCATGGGAGACTGTGCCCAGAGGGGAAGGAGACAGGCCCATGTCCTGGAAAGTGTGTCACTCCACTGGGATCTGGGCCCAAGGACAGACTCCAGCACTGGCAGCAGAATTCAAGGGCTGGAGATTTGCTACGCAGGTGGGTGGGCATGTGTGCCTGAGCCTCAGGGCACCTCAGCCCCAGCAGGCCAGATAGAGACGGGACACCACAGGCCCCTCCCAAGAGCAGGTGATGCCCAGGGGACCTTGCTCCTGCAGCCCAAGGGGAGTACAAACCCAGGCACACAGACCCTGGGCAGGACCCTCATGACCATATGTCCTGGACCCAGAATGTTACACATTTACCAAGTCAGCAGCAGAAATGGGGAGGTAGCCCAGAGGGCTGGTGGAACCCCTGGCATCTCACGGTCCCCCCGCTGCTGGGAGTAGCCCATCAAAAAAAGAAAAGGTCAGGGCCAGAGCAATAGCACAGCAGGGAGGGCGCTTCCCTGGCACAAGGCTGACCCGGGTTCGATTCCCGGCACCCCATAGGGCCCCCCAAGCACTGCCAGGAGAGATTCCTGAGTGCAGAGCCAGAAGTAAAGCCTGAGCATTGCCGGGTGTGACCCAAAGAGAACCAACCAACCAACCTGAAAAGAGGCAGAAAGGCAGAAGCCCAGTGTGGACCCGGTGCCACAGAGGGTCCCTCTGCTGAGCACCTGCTTTCAAGCTTCCTAATTTCCCTCCAGGACTGGACAGTGGCCAGAGCTGCCCCCAAGTCCAAATGGGACCTTCCTGGTCCTGGAGGCCCGTGGCTCCTGACAGGAGAACTCAGCTCAGAGAGGGAAGGGGGAGGGCTGGGATGCTCAGAGCAGGTGGCTGGGTCACGTCCAGGGCCCGGCCTCTGAGCGGCCCACACTGGGGGCTGAGTGTCGCCCCTGCCCCCAGACCTTCACCGCCTGGTGCAACTCACATCTGCGCAAGGCGGGCACCCAGATCGAGGACATAGCAGAGGACTTCCGCAGCGGCCTCAAGCTCATGCTGCTGCTCGAGGTCATTTCAGGTGAGGGGCTCAAGTCTTGGGGACCCCAGGGCCTGGGGGAGGCCAGGGAGCGGGGGGTTGGGGCGTTGGTGGTAGCAGGGGTGCTGCCCTGGGGTTGCGGGGGAGAATGGGAAATCGGAGGAGGGGATCTTCTGACCTTTGACCTGTGGCCTCTCCTCTTATATCCAGGAGAGAGGCTGCCCAGGCCAGACAAAGGCAAGATGCGCTTTCACAAAATCGCGAACGTCAACAAGGCCCTGGACTTTATCGCCAGCAAAGGGGTGAAGCTGGTCTCCATCGGCGCCGAAGGTGGGGCAGGATGGGAGTGATCTGGGGGTGGGCGGGAGCGTTTCTGGCACCGGGTCCCCCCTCGGGAGCCGTGACTTGGCCCAACTCTGGGGGTGACTTACTGAGCCTTGCAGAGGCGATGACGTGGGGCAGACGCACCCTGGGGCCTACCCGAGCCTGGTACTAAGCGGGTGCGGTGAGCATGTGTTGAAGATGCGTGAGCTCCCTCTGGGTGCCAGCCCTGCCAGGCGGGCGAGAGCCGGGAGACTGAGCACAGGGGCGCGGGCCCCAGAGTCCTCATCTTCACTGCGTGCTGGAATCGCCCCCCTCACCCTCTGCAGAGATCGTGGACGGGAACCTGAAGATGACCTTGGGCATGATCTGGACCATCATCCTCCGCTTCGCCATCCAGGACATCTCTGTGGAGGGTGAGCCCGGGGGGAGGGGCGGGCACAGGCCGGGGTGGGGCGGGTGCCCAGAGCCCTGCTCAGCGGATGCTCCCCACTGTCCCCCCAGAAACCTCAGCCAAGGAGGGCCTGCTTCTGTGGTGTCAGCGCAAGACTGCGCCCTACCGCAACGTCAACGTCCAGAACTTCCACACCAGGTCTGGTGGGTCCTGAGGCCTCTGAGATGCTCTGAGGAGGGTTCTGAGGCCTCTGAGGAGGGTCCTGAGGTACTTCTAGGTGGGTCCTGAGATGCTCTGAGGAGGGTCCTGAGGTGCTTCTAGGAGGGTCCTGAGGCCTCTGAGGAGGGTCCTGAGGTGCTTCTAGGAGGGTCCTGAGGCCTATGAGGAGGGTCCTGAGGCCTCTAAGGAGGGTCCTGAGACCTCTGAGGAGGGTCCTCAGGTGCTCTGAGGAGGGTCCTGAGGCCTCTGAGAAGGGTCCTGAGGCCTCTGAGGAGGGTCCTCAGGTGCTCTGAAGAGAGTCCTGAGGCCTCTGAGAAGGGTCCAAGGCTGGTAATGAGCTTTCAGGCCCAGTGACAGGGTGGAGGTGTGATGAGGCTGTCCTGAGAGGGTGCTCCTGCCTGGGGTGTGGGTGGATCAGGGCTCCGGCTCAGACCTGACCTCGCCTGTGTGGGAGCAGCTGGAAGGACGGCCTGGCCCTCTGTGCTCTCATCCACCGACACCGCCCCGAGCTCATCGACTACGCCAAACTGCGCAAGGTACCGGGGCCAGAGCGACAGTACAGAGGGGAGGGGATTTATCTCATATGCCGCCGACCCAAGTTTGACCCTTGCACCCCATATGGTCCCAGCCCACCAGGATGATTCCTGAGTGCAGAGCCAGGAGTAACCCCTGAGCACTGCCAGGTGTGGCTAAAAAATCAAACTCCCTCCTCCAAAAAAAAAAGTCACACTTTTGAGCTGGAGAGATAGTACAGTGGGTAGGACACTTGCCTTGCACACCGCTGACCCAGGTTCAATCCCCAGCACCTGAGATGGTCCCCAGAGCACCACCAGGAATTATTCCTGAGCACAGAGCCAGGAGTAACCCCTGAGTGTTGCCATGTATGACCCCAAAACAAAACAAAACAAAACAAAAAACAAGCTGCACAGGTACTTCTTCGGCCACCCCGGATCCCCGACTCCCCACCTTGTCCTCTGCTGACCCTTCCTGCCGACCCCTCACCTCTGTTTAGGATGATCCCATAGGCAATCTGAACACTGCCTTTGAGGTGGCAGAGAAATACCTGGACATCCCCAAGATGCTGGATGCGGAAGGTGAGACCCCACTTTCTGGAGGGCCCAGTTCAGTCTCCACACCTGCACTCCAAATGCCCTGCCCCTTACCCTGAAATAAGAATTTCAGTCAGAATTCTTATTTTGGGGCCACCGATAGCCTACTGTGCTTGGGGCCTACTCCTGGCTCTGTGCTCAGAGGTCACAACTGGCAGGGCTGAGGGTCCCCCGTGGTGCCAGGGATGGAACTTGGGCTTCCTGCATGCAAAGCCTGTGCCCCAGCCCTTTGAGTGTCTCCCAGATCCTACGGTCAGAATTCTTCCTGCACAGAACCTCCTCTCCCCAGCCCCCTCCCCCCTCTCCCCTGCACTCTGGTCCTCCCACCCAGAAGAACCAGTCACTTGGGCCTCCCCTTGGTGATGGCTCTGCCCTCAGCCTCAAACGCTGGTTCCAGGGCTGGAGCGACAGTACAGCGGGGAGGGCATTTGCCTTGCATGCAGCCAACTGGGTTCAATCGCTGGCATCCCATATGGTCCACCAAGCACCTCCAGCAGTGATTCCTGGGTGCAGAGGCAGGAGTGACCCCTGGGCATTGCCAGGTGTGGCCCCCAAATAAAACAGAACCAAAACAAACCAAAACTCCTGGTACCCGGGTGCTGAGAAGCTTGTCACTCTCGGAGACGGGACCTCCTTGGGCGCTGTGTCCGCCTCTGGCCCTTGTGTCCAACCACAGCTCTGGTCAGTTGGCAGCAGACATTTATTTCCTGCGTGCCACTGTGAATGGTGCCTGGCTGCGTGGGCACCCTTAGAGGAGAGTCTGTCCTGAGTTCATGCCCTGGGAGACAGACAGACGGAGTTCTGGGATGATGAGCTGCGTCAGGCCAAGTGGCCTGATTTCACAAAGCTGGGGGCTCCGGGGGAGAGAGAGAAGACGTGGGGTCCTGGCAGCTGGTGACGGTGGCTGCGTGTCTCCGCCCTCCCTTCGAAGGGAGCCTCTGCTCCTTCCCCACCCCTGGCTGCCCGTTCAGCTCCCTCTGTGCTCCCCTAGACATCGTGAACACTCCAAGGCCCGACGAGAAGGCCATCATGACCTACGTCTCTTGCTTCTACCACGCCTTCGCCGGCGCTGAGCAGGTAAAAGCGGCCCCCAGCTGCTCCTGTCCTGCCCTGGGGAGTTCAGGCACTGAGGCTGCTGGCACCATCACCGGTACCCCCCTCTCCCCTCTATGCACCCGGTTTTAAGGACTTTTCCAAGGTGGGCTGGGTTGGGGGGGCTTCTGCAGTTATTTCTCTGAAAGCAGCCGCCCACCTGGCCCCCCACAGGCTGAGACCGCTGCCAACAGAATCTGCAAGGTGCTGGCCGTGAACCAGGAGAACGAGAGGCTGATGGAGGAGTATGAGAAGCTGGCCAGTGAGGTGAGGTGGGGGTTGAGGGGAGCCCCCCACCCTGCCCGCCTGATCCTCCCAGCCCCGGCTCCCCTGTCTTTTGTCCGTCCCTTTCTCCCGGCCAGGCTTTCGGTCACTCCCAGATGCATTCGCCTTAGATCCCCCACTGATTCCTTTCTTCAGCCACTCCCGCTTAGGCTGGCGCACAGCCCTTTGCTCCATGCCAACCCGGGCTGGTCCCTCCCAGACTCAGAAATGCGTCATCCCTATGCCCCCCAAGTTCTGGCCTCCCCAGACGTGACTGTCACCCCCACCTGGCCACAGCCCGGGGGTGGCGGGTGGGGACGGGAAGTGAGCAGCGGGCTCAGAGCTCCCGGCTCCGCAGCTGCTGGCGTGGATCGGCCGCACGGTGCCGTGGCTGGAGAGCCGCGGGGGCGAGCCCAGTGTGAGCGCCATGCAGCGCAAGCTGGAGGACTTCCGGGACTACCGGCGCCGGCACAAGCCGCCCCGCGTGCAGGAGAAATGCCAGCTGGAGATCAACTTCAACACGCTGGAAACCAAGCTGCGGCTAGGCAACCGGCCGGCTTTCATGCCCTCCGAGGGCAAGCTCGTCTCGGTGATCTTGGGCTTGATCTTGGGCTCTGGGTTCAACTCTGCAATGGGTGCACCTTGTACTAGAGCAATAAGACAGCAGGGCGGGCGCTGGCCTTGCATGCAGCCAACCTGGGTTTGATCCCCAGCATCCCATATGGTCCCTCGAGCCCACCAGGAATGATCCTTGAGTGCAGAGTCCCCCCGCCCCTCCACCCATGGGTAAGCCTTGATGGGGAGCACCTCCACCTGCCTGCAGGACATAGCCAACGCCTGGCGGGGGCTGGAGCAGGCCGAGCGGGGCTATGAGGACTGGCTGCTGGCGGAGATACGCCGTCTGCAGCGGCTGGAGCAGCTGGCGGGGAAGTTCCAGCAGAAGGCATCACTGCACGAAGCCTGGACCCAAGGTACGTACAGCTCAGGGACGTGCTCCTGTCCTGGGCTGGGCAGCTACTTAGGACGGGGCGGGTAGTCTGGGCAAACGCATGGGCGGACGGTGTTCTACTCGGGTGCCCAAGGCCAGTTTGCCAACCCCACCTCCACTGGCCCTGTACACCCTTGCTGGGCAGTGTTTTTTTTTTCTTTTTGGGTCACACCTGGGGATGCACAGGGGTTCCTCCTGGCTCATGCACTCAGGAATTACCCCTGGCAGTGCTCAGGGGACCATATGGGATGCTGGGAATCGAACCTGGGTTGGCCGCTTGCAAGGCAAACGCCGTCCCCGCTGTGCTATTACTCCAGCCCCAGCGCGGTGGTTTTTCATCAGTAAATTCCTGTCCTTTGCAGCCTCCTGGCTCTGGGTCTGGAGGGCGTTGCTTGGACTAGTGATCTGTTAGCATTTTGCCTGTGTAGCTGATGTGCAAAGGTGATTCCAGCCCCCACATCGCTTCTGTTATTCTCCCAACTACATTAAGGAGAGAGTTTGGCAGGGGACAAAGGGAGCACTGTGCGTGAAAATATTCTCCTCCATGTTGGGATTTACCCAACATGAGTGGTGGGGGCCAGAGCGATAGTACAGCGGGGAGGGCGTTTGCCTTGCACACGGTCGACTGGGGTTCCATCCCCAGCATCCCATACGGTCCCCTGAGCATCACCAGCATTCCTGAGTGCAGAGCCAGGAGTAACCCCTGAGCATCACCAAATGTGACCCCAAAAACTTTAAAAAAGAAAACCCTAAGATGAAAACGAAAGAATTCCTTAAATGTGCGTCTTAGTATATGAGTCTGGGGTCTTGGAACCTGTAACCCTTAGTTACCTTCCTGCCAAAAAGCTGACGCTCAATAAATGGTCGCGGCTGTAATTATGGTTATTTTTATTTGCACGACTGTCATTCTCAAAGCCCTTTTACCGTCCATTACTCATTCACCCAACACTGACAGTTCATCAAGGCTCTGCCAAGCTCCAGGCACTGGGGCAAGGAACGAGCGAAGGGAATTGGAGTTTGGGACCCACTGGCCCTGGCACCGGGGTTTAACTCACTTGTACCCTGCAACGGCTGGGAGCAAACCAGAAGGGTGGGCTGGCACTCCCCGGGTCCCACCCCGCCTCTCTCCGAACAGGGAAGGAGGAGGCGCTGAGCGTCCTCGACTACGAGTCGGCCTCGCTGCAGGAGGTCGGGGAGATGCTGCGCCGCCACGACGCCTTCGAGAGCGACCTGGCTGCGCACCAGGACCGGGTGGAGCACGTGGCGGCGCTGGCCCAGGAGCTCAAGTAGCGCCGCCCCGCCCACAGCCCGCCCCCTGCGCACCCTCCAAGCGGCCCGCCGACCACGCCCCGCGCCCCGTTTCTCACCGGCACCACCTGCATGGCCCCGCCTGCTTGCTGTCCTCCTGCAGCAAAGTGCTGAGCTCCCTTATCTCCTGTGACCCTCCGCCCCTCTGTCCATGCTCTTAAAGAGCTAGAGCAGGGCCTGGAGCAATAGCACAGCGGGGAGGGCATTTGCCTTGCATGCGGCCAACCCAGGTTCGATTCCCAGCATCCCATATGGTCCCCCAAGCACCGCCAGGAGTGATTCCTGAGTGCAGAGCCAGGAGTAACCCCTGTGCATCGCCAGATGTGACCCAAAAAGCCAAAAAAAAAAACAAAACTAGAGCAGGTGTAGTCCACAGCCCCCCCCCCACCCGGAATGTGCCTCCCCCCCCACACACACACATACACTCACACTCACACACTCCAGGAAAGCCCTGCTTCTCCCTTCCCTGACCTGACTTCTTTCTGCCCTTGCCACCCCCTGGGGCTTGGGTCCCAACCCAGAGGGCTGCCTGGAGGAACTGGCTCACCCCAGGCCGGCCTCTTCCCACCGCAGTGAGCTCGACTACCACGAGGCTGTGTCGGTGAACAGCCGCTGCCAGGCCATCTGTGACCAGTGGGACAGCCTGGGCACGCTGACCCAGAAGAGGAGGGTCGCGCTGGAGGTGGGGTGGGGTCCTGGGACTGGACCCCAGGGGCGGTGCGGGGGTGGGGGACATGGGCTTGGGCTGAGCAGGCTGCTGACTCACCCTCCCCCACCCTAGCGGATGGAGAAGCTCCTGGAGACCATCGACCACCTGCATCTGGAGTTTGCGCAGAGGGCAGTGTCCTTCAACAACTGGCTGGACGGCGCCGTGGAGGACCTGCAGGACGCATGGCTGGTGCACGCAGTGGAGGAGACCCAGGTGACCCAAGATGGGGTGTCTCTGTGGGACGCCATCCTAGGAATCTCAGTCTCCCAGAAAAAGAGACAAGGGCGGGCCTGGACCCCCTGCATGGCCCGGAGCCCCTGGAGCGGAAGCAGGACCGGGTCCTGCCCAACATTTCCTGCCTGTCCCTCCCCCCCCCCCCCCCCAGAGCCTGCTGACCGCACATGAGCAGTTCAAGGCCACGCTGCCTGAGGCTGACCGGGAGCGAGCGGCCATCATGGGCATCCAGGCCGAGATCCAGAAGATCTGCCAGACATACGGGCTGCGGCCCAGCCTCACCAACCCCTACATCTCCCTGAGCCCGCAGGACATCAGCAACAAGTGGGACTTGGTGAGTCCCTCCTCCCAGCCCTGTGGCCCTTCAGCCGCCCGAATCCTTGAGGGCCCAAGCAATGGAGAAGCTGTTCAGACCAGGGCCTGTCACTGCGACCCCCTGCAGTTCTGGGCGAGTCCTGTGGCGTGGCCTCCACATCGATTTTCCCATCAGGCCTGAGGGGCTGTTGACTTCATACAATCACCTGAGTTCCTTGTAGAGGAATCCCTGGCCCTGGCCCGGTGTGCAGCCAACCCACTGTGCCCCTGAGCACCGCCAGGGGTCACTCTCGAGCCCAGAGCCAGGAACAGTCCCTGTGCCTTGCTGACCCGCTCCAAAACTCCAAAATTGGTGGATCCCAGAGGAGAAGGGAAGCCTGGGGTGGGTCCCCTGTGACCCGCGAGGAACAAGTCTGGAGAAGCGGCAGGGCTGGCCCAGAAGCCCCTCAATAGGCCTGGCCTGCACACCCTCGCACCCAGGTCCGAAAGCTGGTTCCCAGGCGCGACCAGACGCTGCAGGAGGAGCTGACCCGGCAGCAGGTGAACGAGCAGCTCCGGCGGCAGTTTGCGGCCCAGGCCAATGCCGTGGGGCCCTGGATCCAGGGCATGGTGGAGGTGAGACCTGGAGGGAGGGGCCGCCTGGGGGAGCCAGGCCTGGGGGGGCCCCTCATGCTGCCCTGGCCCCCCTCAGGAAGTGGGCCGCCTGGCGGCCGGCCTGCTGGGCTCCCTGGAACAGCAGCTGGCCGAGCTCCGGCAGCGGGAGCAGAGTATCATCCGCTACAAGAGCAGCGTGGAGCGACTGGAGGGCGAGCACCAGCTGATGCAGGCCAACCTGGTGTTCGACAACCAGCACACGGCCTACAGCATGGAGGTGGGCAGAGCCTGGCCGCCCCCCGGCGTGTCCCCAGTTCAGCTCAACCGGGACCCCCAACGTGCCCACGGGGGATACGGAGACCCAGTGAGAGCCAGGGACTGGTCCAGAGTCGCAGGGCGTCCTGAAGCCGGGGCAGGCCCTGGCTGCCCGATCAATACTGAACCTACGAGGGCGTTTTCCTTATGCGCTGGGCCGACCCGGGTTCAATCCCCGGTTTCCCATATGGTCTCCGAAGCGTCAGCAGGAGTAACTCCCGAGCACAGAGCCAGGAGCAATAACCCCTGAGCATCGCTGGATTTGCTCCCAAACACAAATTCTGATCCCATAGTAAATGGTCCAGCTTTCAGGCAGGCAGGCAGGGCCGCTGGAGGGGCTCAGAGGGATCCCTAGGGGCGTGTGTGTGGGTGTGGGGGGCGCCTGGCAGCATGCAGGAGGCTGGGAGCAGAGCTGGAGCGGGCCTGACCCCTGCGCTGCAGCACATCCGCGTGGGCTGGGAGAGGCTGCTGGCCACCCTTGCCCGCACCATCAACGAGGTGGAGAACCAGCTGCTCACCCGGGACGCCAAAGGCCTGAGCCAGGAGCAGCTCAATGAGCTCCGGGCGTCCTTCAACCACTTCGACCGGGTCAGCAGGAACCCGTGCTGGGGGTGGGGTGGGGAGGGCGGTTGGACTCAGGGCCTGGGGGGCGTGCTGGGGACCGAGCCTGACATCTGCTCGCTCCCTCCAGAAGCGGAAAGGAACAATGGAGCCTGATGACTTCCGGGCTTGCCTCATCTCCATGGGCTACGACCTGGTGAGTGTGGCCCCCGCACCCGGGCTGCGCTTAGCGCCCACCTCTTGCATCGTCGGCCCCTTCTCTGTGCCCCCCACCTCTGTGCTCTCTTCTGCCTCTTTGGCTGGGGCCAGGCAGAGGGATCCGTTTCACACACAGAGCTTCAGAGGCCCCGAGGGGTCAATAGGTTTCGTCATAGCCACACAGCGGGATATGGAAACGGTTCAGAGGCCGAGGTCAGCCATGCCTTTCCCTCAGGGAAGCAGCAGTGTGGGTAGCTCGGTGATGGCCAGAGGAAAGGTCACGCCCAGGCTGGGGAGGCAGCTGGGGCTCAGGCCTCGCATGCACACGGACCTCAGTCTGACCCTCGGCACTGCATCATTCCCTGGACGGCCCCCACACCTGTACGCTCAGCCAGCATGCCCTGCCAAACCCATGCAAAACCATCTGGCCCCGGGGCTCCACGAGCACAGCTTGGGAGGCTGCCCCCACAAAAGATCAAGGGCAAAGGGCACAGGGGACGTGTTTCCAGGGGCTGTGGCTGGGCGGCTGGACAGTCCCAGAAGGGGCAGCAGCCACGCTCAGGTCTCGGCGCCGCCCTCTCTCCCTGCAGGGGGAAGCGGAGTTTGCCCGCGTCATGACAGTGCTGGACCCCACCGGCACCGGGGTCGTGACCTTCCAGGCCTTCATTGACTTCATGACCCGCGAGACGGCGGAGATGGACACGGCGGAGCAGGTGGTGGCCTCCTTCAAGATCCTGGCGGGGGACAAGGTGAGTCCCAGCGTGGGGGCCCGGCAGGGTGAGGGCTGGGTGGGCGGGTGGGCGGGTCCTCACTCTGCTTCTCCCCCAGAACTACATCAGCCCCGAGGAGCTGCGGCGGGAGCTCCCCGCCGAGCAGGCTGAGTACTGCATCCGCCGCATGACGCCCTACAAGGGCTCCGGGGCGCCAGCCGGGGCGCTGGACTACGTGGCCTTCTCCAGTGCCCTCTATGGAGACAGCGACCTCTGACCTCTGGCCTTGACCCCTGGAGTGGTCTGGCTGATCGCCTCCATCCCTTGGAACAGGGTTCTGATTAAAGACCCGTCCATCCACGTAGCCTCTCCCCTTCTCCTTTCAGTTCCTGGATGGAAGCTGGACCCCGTGGGGATCCCCTCCCCTCCTCCCCCGGAGCGGGGGGTGGTCAGGGCAGTCAGTCACGCCACACAGAGCCTCGGGCACCTCTTTATTGCTGTTAGAAAAGGTGGGCTACAATTATTTCTCTAGGTGTGGGCAGGAACTCTGGCCCCCCCAGGGGGGGCGTCCCAAATCCAAGGGCAACTGGTGTGGGAAGCCTGCTCAGGAGAGAAGGGCACCAGGGCCGGATCGACCCCCTCCACCCGCGCCGTCCAGGCTCAGGGTTCCTGTCCCGGCTTCCGCTGCTTCAAGTACCGCGGCACCCCAAGATTCTGCTAACCACCGGGACCCAATAGAGGCAGGGTGGGGGGAGGGGGAGGAGGGAGAGGAGGGGCACCCTCCCAGCCCAGTGCTCAGCGCCAGGTGACCCAGTGGCATGGCACCCCTGAGCGCGCTGGGCCTTCCGGAGGGGTCCCGGAGGTGTAGCCGAGCCAGGGACAGAGCTGCCCCGGTCACACCAGGTCGTGAGGTACCGGTCTTTCGCTCACCACTGCCGAGCTGGCCATGGTGTTCACGCCACACGCCCCAGAGCCCCGGTGCAAGTAGTAGTAACCCTGGCGGCGAGAGGGGGGCTGTGAGGACCCACGAGGCCACCTGGAGCGGCGGGGCTGGGGCAGCCCCCCCTCCACACCCACCTGCTGGCCCCAGTCCGAGCCCCAGCTGTTCTTGATGGCCCAGAAGGGCAAGGAGGAGCCTGGGGAGTGGAGCACGGTGTTGGGGGTCAGGGTGCCCCACACGCGGCCCCTCGAGTACCGGCTGCGTGCTCCTGTGTGATGCATAGAACAGGAGACACCAGCCAGGCCCCCCGCACCCCCTGTCCCGGCTTTGGCGGGTCATTTCCCCAGCCAGGGCCCCCCACCACCCCGCTGGCCGGAACTCACGGTTGCCATAGCCCACAAGCAGCACGGCGTGGTCCACGAGCCAAGGGCTGCAGAGAGGCCGCAGGGGGCGCGCGATGCCCCGACGGTAGAACTGGGGAGGGCCAGAGTAAGTGGGGGGCCGAGCCAGCGGGAGGGGGCGGGCGGGGCGCGTCTTACCTGCATGCCAAAGGCGTTGAGGGCCACCGAGATGGGCCCGTTCTTGGCCAGCCAGGCTGCCAGCTCTGAGGCGGAGGGCAGAGGGGGCGACGTCAGGGGCACCGAGGGCGGCAGCCCCCCACCCGACATCTGCCTGCCCTCGGCCCGCCCCTCACTCACTGTGCTCGTTCTGGCTCAGGGCCACCGAGTCATTGATGAAGACCTTGGCCTTCTTAGCCGAGAAGTTGCAGGCCTGCACATGGCCCTTGTAGCTGTAGTCGCTCTCGGTCTCCAGGCCGCCTGCCAGGGACACGGGGCAGCCGGCTCCAGAGACGACAAAGCAGGGTGGCGGGGGGAGCCCGGGCCTGCCCTGCTGTGTGATCCCCTGCAACATCTGTCCCCCGCCCTATTCTGCTCGGGGCCCTGGGGTCTGACACTCAAGAGTCGGAGCAGTCGCATCACCAGACCCAAACTGGAAGCTTTAGGCCCACGGCGCGGGGCGGAGTATGCAGACCGTGGCCTCTGGGCCCCGAGCAGGGCTGGAGAGGGCCCCCCACCCCCGCCAAACACACCTCCCCCAAAGGTCAGGTGAGGTGCCCCCTGGCTTACCCGTTTCTCAGAGGGACACCCTCTAAGCAGCAGCAAAACCAGGACCCCTGGCTCTGCTCAGTGCTCAGGGCGATCCTGAGTGAGGGCCACCAGGGGCTATCCCAGAGGCCGACACAGCAGCCAACCCAGCTCAGCCCATACTACATGCAAAATTACTTGCTTTGCATGTGGCCAACCCGGCATCCCATATGGTCCTCTCAGCACTACCAGGAGTAATTCCTGAGCGCAGAAGTCAGGAGTGACCCCTGAGCATCACTTGGTATGCCCATCCCCCCAAAAAAAAACCCTCAGCTCAGCATTACGACCAGACCTAAATCCTGGGACTGCCCCCCACCTACAGTGACGGGCCTCAGATGGGCGGGGAAGGGACCCCACTACTGCATACCCAGAACCTTGATGGCCAAGTAGGCATTGGAAGGCAGACCGCCCAGGCACGCCTTGTCTGTCTTGTCACAGTCCAAGAGCTCTAGGAGGGGCCGGAGAGACAGTCCAGTGGGTGGGGCGCTGGCCTTGCACACAGCCGACCCGGGTTCGATCCCCGGCTTCCCATACGGTCCCCTGAGCACCGCCAGGAGTGATTCCTGAGCGTAGAGCCAGGAGGAAGCCCTGAGCATCGCCGGGTGAGACCCAAAAAGCCAAAACACCAAAACCCAAAGAAACAAGAAAGCAAGAGGTCCAGAAAACAGAAGCAGGTTCTGAGGGAGTCCCCGGGGGGTGGGGAGGGCAGGTGCTCACCCTGTTCTGAGAGGGACAGTAGGTCCCCCTGCTTCAGGAACCACTGGCCCTCGATGTTGCCCGTGACGGAGAAGGCCCAGCAGGAGCCGCACATGCCCTGCCAGAGAAGGTGGTCAGGGCCCAGCCCGGCCAGCCCAGGGGCGTCCCTGGGTCCCCTCCGTCTAGGGGTGCTCCCAGCCCCCCTCCGCCTGGGGACCCACCTGGTCCTTGACTGGGGTGACAGCCCCCTGGTTCCTCCAGTCCCACTCGGGGGGGATGTTCCCACCGACGGGCTTGGCCAAGCGCATTTTCATGCCCATCTCCTCCTTGAGAAGCGGGTTCAGGTAGATGGTGTGAAACTCCTCCTCTGTGGAAGATGGGAGCATGTCGTGGGAGCCGGCCCCCAGCCACCTGGCCCGCCCAGGCCCATGCGTGCCCCGTCCCACCCCTACCTGTGAGGTCACTGAACTTGGTGACCCCGTACCGAGCTGTGCCCTGGTCCAAGGCCTGGATCTTCTGCGCACGAATCAAGTTGCTGGCGAAGACCGACATGCGCCACTGTGCCTCTAAGGGCAGAGAGGAGAGGGAGCTCGCGGCCCGCTGGAGAAGGGGGCGCTAGGCCCGGCTGGAAGCTCTTAGGTCAGACCCCTGGAGGGGCGGAGCAGGGACCCAGTCTTAAGTTTTGACCAGAAATCAAAAACCATTTCAGGGGGCTGGAGCGGGTAGGACTGTTTGCCTTGCACACAACCAACCCGGGTTCGATTTGCAGCATCCCATATGGTCCCCCGAGCACCGCCAGGAGTAATTCCTGAGCACATGAACCAGGAGTAACCCCTGTGCAATGCCGGGTGTAACCCAAAAAGCAACAAACAAACAAACAAGAAAAAAAAACAAACAATTTCATGGGGATAGAGCTATAGCACAGTGGGCAGAGTGTTTGCCTTGCACACGGCCAACCTGGGTTCAATTCCCAGCATCCCATATGGTCCCAGGAGTAATTCTTAAGTGCAGAGCAGGAGTAACCCCTGTGCAATGCTGGGTGTAACCCAAAAAGCAACAGACAAACAAAACAAAAACAATTTCAGGGGGCTGGAAATATAGCACAGTGGGTAAGGTGTTTGCTTTGCACGCGGCCAACCCGGGTTCGATTCCCAGCATCCCATATGGTCCCCTGAGCACTGTCTGGAGTAATTCCTGAGTGCAGAGCCAGGAGTAACCCCTATGCATAACTGGGTGTGACCCAAAAAGAAAAAAAAATAACAACCAAAAAAACCCATTTCAGTTCAAGAGGGTGTGAAGGCAGAACCCAAAAGACCACTGAAAGGACCCCCAGATGGGTCCTGGGGAAGGCCACTGGGCTGGGCCCCTGAGGTCTGACGGGAGAAGGGCCCTGAGGTGGCTGTTTGATCCTGAAAACTGGTCAGGAGCACGGGTGGGGGTCTGCCCCAGGAAAGGATGCGGGCGTCCCCTGTCCTGCCCCTCCTCTAAACCAAGCCCTTCCCCGCCCCCAGCCAGACGGGGTGCAGCCAGGCTGGGGCTCACCCTCCTCTGTCTCGTAGGTCCGGTTGTAGGTGATGACGAAGTCCTTAAAGATAGACGCCATCTTCACAGAGAAGTCCTGCAAGACAGGGGGGCGTGGAGCAGCAGCGGCGCCTGCGGGGGTGGGGGGTGGGGATGGGGGGCGTCAGCCTGGGGCTCTGGCAGCCACGGGCAAGTCCCTACCTGGGGCAGCGGATTATCCTTGTCCGACAGCGGCAGGACTGGACCGAGAGTCTCATTCCGATCATCTGGGGAGGGTGGGGACAGAGGAAAGGCAAGGCTGAGGCCTGCGGGGCGCCTGCCCCCCGCCCCAAGCTCTGCCGCCTGCCGCCCGCCGAGGCCCGCACCTGTGCCCTTGATGTCCACCGGCCTGCAGTCCCTGCGGAGAAGCATGTGCTGCCCGAGCTCGTCCAGGACTTCGAAGGTGCAGAGCTGGGGAGAGGAGGGACGCCAGGCTGGGGTGGGGTGGGGGTGTCCTCGCCGTGCACCCTCCGACCCCCCCCCCACCCGAGAGCTCGTCCAAGGCCGGAGCTGTCAGCCGGCATCGCGACGCTGCAGGGACAGCCTGGAGACAGGCGGGCACGGCACGGGCGCCCCGACACTCACCAGGGTCTTTTTGGACACAGGGAGCTGGCACACCGTGGGGTCGTTGCAGGGGGGCTCCTCCAGGGTCGCCTTCAGCGAGTACAGGGACCCCCGGTCGTCCTGGACGGAGGCGCGGGTGAGGCGGCTGGACGGGCCCCGCGGTTCGACTCCGCCCCCCGACTCCCCTGGGCATCATCCCCGCGGCCCCGTCCTCCCCCCACACACACTCCCAGGCCCCGGCTCCCGGCCCGGCCTCACCCGGCGGACGCGGCCGCTCACGGCCCCCAGCACCGCCCGCGTCCCCGCCGCCCGGTTGTGCATCTCCAGCGCGAAGCGGGCGGGCGGCAGCAGCTGCGCGGGCGGCGGCTCCCA